ACAACTCCTGCTACTCTTTGGATAGGGTTCGCGGTCCTCGACACTCCGTCTTAAGTCACCATCTTTAACCTGTCCCTAAACCTCTTCAGTCGAGGGTTTAGGGTTTAGGGGTTTAAGGTTTAAGGTTTAGGGTTTAAGGTTTAAGGTTTAGGGTGTAGTCAGGCTTAAGATTTCAATGACACTCCAAACGCGGAAAGACCAGTGCCTCAGAGCCAACAATTCCGCCAGTCGCGATGGCTCCTTAGCAAGGTAAAGGGCATCAGAGTCTTGCCATGTCGGCTGACTCGAGGCCCTAAATAGACTACCAGAGCTCGTCCTAGACCTCAACATAGAGTTGGCAGGACATGGAGTCGAGTCGTTTGCAAAGATTGAGTCAAAAAATGCACCCGATTCTATCTTGGGAGCCGGTTGCGGGATTTCGAGTTGGGGGTGCAGGAGTACAGGTTCAGATTTTAACATGTACTACTGCAGGGCTGATCCAACGTTTACGGTGATGCAGCATAAATCGAAACACCCTACCCATCATGAGCAGCCAAAACCACAAATCCTAAGCCCTCAAACCCAAAACCCCAAACCCTCAGACCGTAAACACCCTAAAACCCCACGCCCTAAAGCCCTAAACCCTACAACCCCAGACCGTAAACTCCCAAACCCGAAAGCTCTCGACCTCCATCTTAGAACCCCGAAAGCCCTGTCTACTTTCCTAAACCCTAAACCCCTAAACCCTAACCCCTAAACCCTAAACCCTAAACCCCTAAACCCTAAACCCCAAACTTGGGACAGCAGCTACGGTTTCCGTAGCATTGCCGGCTGCCGCAGCGGCAGCCGCAGCCTGCCACAGCTCTGTTTTGAAGGGTTCCAAAGGGTCTCCGGGGCTCTACCTACAGTCTCCATTGTAGCTCCTTGCTTTATATTTAGGATCCTCTAAGGTAACCTCCTAAAAGGAACTACAGTGGAGACTATAGGTATAAGGGTTCTATGAGGGTTCTATAAAAGGGGCTCTAAAAGGTTTCTAGAAGGGTTCATCCAACCGGCACCCTTCAGCTGACTCTGGCGAATCTTCTTCTTCTCGGAGGCGGACTTGGCACTCCACCATTTCTTGTGTTGCTGGCCCTTTGTACCTCTGGATCTGTTCCACCGAGCATGGACTATTTTGTCCTTCAGGGTGTCGTCAGCCCAGGCCTTGGTGTCGCCCCCCCAGCTGATCATGTTGTGGCCAATATCCTCTGGCTTCTGCCGCCACACCGACAACTCCTTAGTGGATATATCTTTGTTTGGGGTTTAATGATCCGATTAGACTTACTAAGCTAGGCTTCAGAGTTTAAGTTTCAGGGTTCAGGTTTTAGGGTTCAGGGTTTAGGTTTCAGGGTTTCGGCTGTAGATGGAGAGTCATGTTATGATTATGCAAAGTCCACGCCACAGACAAAACTGGCTGTCATACTATCTACCCTAAACCCTCAACTCTAAACTAGACAGTCTGCCAGGAAATTACCCCTAAACTCTTACAGACAAAACCCTCAACCCCTAAAACCTAAACCCGTGATGTGGTTCTTGGGGCTCTCGGTATTGGGTTTGGGGGGCTACTACACCGAAATGAGACTTAGGAGCCCCCAGGCTCCTAAAGCTCCTGCTGTCGGCCTCGAAGCTCAGTTTGCTTATGTAACTAGTGGGAGACTGCGCCTCCCTAAACCCTAAACCCTAAGTCCTAAACCCTAGGTCCTAAACCCGAAACCCTAAGTCCTAAACCCTATTATAAGTCCTAAACCCGAAACCTTAAGCCCCAAACCTTAGGTCTCCTAAGCCAGGAACCTCTCCTGCTACATAGGTTACTCGTCGTCGGCATCAGGTCCCACCCTCCAACATGGCTTACTGTGCCTTCCTGCTGCAGTCACTCCTCCCTGTGAATATATAGCGCCACGGAGCGCAATACGGTTTAGGGTTTAGGGTTTGGGGTTTAATGGTGAAACAATCAAATTAAAAACCTCTGAAGTAAGGGGTATTGGGCGTCTTGAGTCATTGACAGGATTTCGCAAGGATCTGTCCATTGTAGAAACGCCTATATTCACAGGGTCCCGCCGTGAATTCCAAGCAAGAGCTGTAAAAGCCCTCACTAAAACGAACGAAAAGGGCCTTTTGTGCAGCCACCGCCGCTGGCGCAGCTGCCAGCTTTTCTGCCCTGTCTCAGGCTTAAATTGTTTAGGGTTCCAGGATGTTGGGCTAAGGGCATAGGATATACTTCCCCTAAGGCCCACAGAAGCCCTATAGAGTATGGTCTTTGGCACTAAACCCTAAACCCTAAACCTTAAAACAGGAGTCCTTAGAGCCTTAGGGTTCTGGTTTTTGTTGGGGCCTTAATAATTGGAATAGGGTCTTGGGGCCCATTATACTATAATTATAAAAGGAACCCCCAAAATAGTATAGGTAATTATTAAGGCCCCCCTATATTATGGGTGGAGGAGATGTGGCTCCAGGTTTAAGGGGCTTCGGCTACCAGCACCGCGGCACCCCCAAACCCCAAACCCAACACCACAGACTCCAAACCCCGAACCCTAAGGTTTTAGGGTTTAGGGTATAGGTTTAGGGTTTATAGGGTTTAGGGTTTAGGGTTTAGGGTTTATAGGGTTTAGGGTTTAGGGCCTAACGCCTGAAGACGAAAACATCTTGCAAGATCCAGGCCTGCGAACCACCGGCAGGTCTCAACCCCACATCCTAGAGCCTTAAGCTCTAAGACTCTCTAAAACTCTTAAGCCCCAACCCAAAAGAAACTAAAACACCCTCAAACAATTTTCTCCCTCAACCATCCGAAAAGCAAAACACAAACCATAAGCTGCACCCTCAAAACGGCCCAAGAACTCTCCAGCACGAAAACAACGTGAAACCTGAACCTGCATTGGTCAGCAACAGCAACAACAACGACGAAGACTACTACTACTACTACTACTACTACGACGACTACTACTTCTACTAGTTCCCTTAGTCGCTTTTATGCTTAATGTCACTGTACCACTATTAACTACCAGGTAGCGCACGCAAGGCTTCTTGCGGCTGGGGGAGGGGTGGGGGGGATAATGACATCGCTTCTAACGGCGACCTTGACGTTGATGCGCTGTTACAAGCGTTTCATGCCTTGTGCGAGCATGCCCCAACCACTGATCTTTGCGGCGCTTTGCCACTTTATACAACATACTGCAAAAGGATGTTTGACATTTCTGGCATAAGACGAACTCCGACAAGTGCTTATGTTTCGTGCGAGCATGCCCAAAACACTGGCATTTACAGCGTTTTTGCCTCTTTGCAGAACATAGTGCACATCGATATGGTGCTGGCGATGATGATGAAGAAGATGATGATCACCGCAACAATGACAATAACTATGGCCGAGTGAAATCTCGTCCAACTTACCATAATTTCCGGCAGGCGCTACAACGTCGGTTTCCTATGTTGCTAAGAGCAAGCGTCGAGTGCAAAGTAACATGGCGCCATATGAGTCCGAACCCAACTATTAACATTACAACTCTCGTTTATCAGTATCATTGATGGCATGTTCCGTTTACCAGTCTTGTAATTCGGCGCTGTTACTGCTGTTCAATGGAGTACCATTATTGAAATGATTGCTTTTTTTTCAACTGCAACACTATTCACTCAAATTTGTTCTTGTGATTGATATATGGGCAGCACTATTACTGGCCTCCTTTGCATTACTGTCAGGGTTGCGCCGACTGGACAACCTTCTGCAGCGTTAGCACGTAAGCACTGTGTGATGAAATCCTCATCAGCATGGAATTGTACGGATTGTAGTCGTCTGCAAAACATCTGCAAATCGGGAGCAATGAAGCAACGAGCCTGATCTGCCCTCACAGACGAACACTGCACTTACTTACTCAAACATCGAATCCCGGACAACTGTGACGACTCTCTGTGACGGCTTCAAGCTCTACTGGTAGCGATGCTGCGCGATTTCGTGTCTTGCCCTTCGTGATTTGTTGGTGCGGGCATGGCCCGTGCTGTGATGAAGCTGGCTGCTGAGGCAAATCAAGGTCACGGTTTGCAAGGTTCATTTGGAGCACTGCCTCATGACGAACTTACATGGATGCCGTCCGTCTGAAGTGGTGGTCTTGTTGTAGCTTCACCAGGCGGAATGATACCAAACTCGAACTTCACCAGACGAAAGGAGCATCACAACCCACAGAAAGACTGCTTATCGGCACCAGTGGCCCGTGTCTCCGTTGATGAGTGTGCTGCGTGCGCGCCTGCGGCGGGCAGCTCTCATTCGTCTGGCCTCCTGGGACGTGGGTGGCTACGCTCACGAGAAGTATCTTTGCTTCATCAAATGAAAAACACATTCCAGCAAAAGCCACTGAGTAACGCATGCCTTGCGCAGGAAGGTCCGGCACCTGAGCACGAAGAGAAACTCCAAAACTAAGCAGACGAACTCTACAATCTACACGATAATGCCAGATGCTCGTGCGTCCAAAACGAGATGTAGCATTGGCAAAAAGGGAATGGGATAGATATGCTACAGAAATACCTTCCGAAGCACCCTTTTCGGACTTCATAAGCCTCTGGCTTTGCCTATTGTCCAAAGTCCATAGCCCCTAGCTAAATGTGGCAACAGGTTGCCTACTGCCACATTGCGAGCTCTTCCACTGCACCGCTCTTCTCAAAAGAGTGCTGCCTTTGGAGTAAAATCCTATTGCTGAAGCTGCAGCTCAGCACCTACAGTGGCACCTCGATGGTAAAAGTCGAGCATGGAACAGAACAGCAACCTGTTCAACGAAGCAACAAGGATGTTTCGACATGCCTGGCACTCCTGTACATCTATGCTTTTTGCGGCAACAACCGGCGCATTCTGCGCCTTGCCGTCTGAACATCATGCCTAATCAGGGTCCGAGGACCCACATCGTAAGACTCTGCCAGTCTTGTCCACACCACTGTGGTCAGACAAAACGATCACTTAATTCGTCAAAAGGCCGCTAGCAAGCCTCCAGTCTCAGATAAGACTAAACCTGCAAAGCGGGCGAACGTGCGACGCCGCTGAAGCATGCCAAAAAGAAGCAATTGCCATGTGTTCTGCGATTCCGAAAAACAAGCACACTGGCATGATGCAGCCTCTCGGATGGGGCCGATGGGTCATACCTCGGAGCAATGCGGAAATCCCAGGAGTATGTTGCAGCTCTGCTGGGCTTCAGCTTTCAACATGTCTAAAGTTCCAAGCCTTCCGGGCTGAGTCAGCCACCATGGTTGCTGGGTTGCAACTGGTACTTCTTGATCCTCTCAGCTACACGCGCTTGCTCAGCATTAGAGATCCCATGAGGTTAGGGTGCAAAGCCGACTGGCTGGTGCAGTCTAGTCTGCTGCTGCCCGTTCACACCTTGTCTTGTCACCTTGTCTGCGCATGTAGCTGTTGCCTGGCCTTGCCTGCACTACAGCCCAGACTGAGGAACTTGAAGGAACCAAGAACGCTTCGATGCGCGGTCCTGTGGCCCGTGCTCGAAGAGGCTGCGCCTCTCCGCTTCCTTTTCTGCGAGCACAGAGGGCGAAGCACTGGAGGATCGCTGAGCTGAGAAGAGCACAGAGAATGCCCTGCCCCCAGGAGCCGGGGAAATGAACCACCAGGCGTCCTCTCGGAAGTGACGTGCAGCTGCAATGTCAGCGAGCAACAGCGGGGGAGAAGGGAAGGGGCCGGCAGAGAGCGACCGGGAGAGAGAGAGAGAGAGAGAGAGAGAGAGACGACACGGAGAGAGCAGGGACAAGACCCCCCTACAAGTGTGCTGGCCGCAAGTGCCTCCCCGAATTCGGCCACACGTGTCAGCTGATCTCGGCCCCAGACAGCTCAGCTCGCACCAGTCACGGGATCTGCAGGCGAGCCACCAAAGAACATCTTCGGAGGTGAAGTTCGATCCATGTCGTCGCCGACAGCATTCTCGACCTGATCAGATTGCATTCTCGGGGGGCCTTAACTGGGAAGTGCACAAACTGAGGTAGCAGCTATGGAACACTTTAAGCAAGGATTGTAGGTTGGGTCACCTGGTGCGAGCTTCTTTGTTACGAGTCTCATGGCAGTGCCATGTTCAGAAAATCTTTTAGGAACCTTGTCTGCTCCAGGCAAACTCCTCCTCGTCCGTCACGGTGCTGACCACGCGCGCATGTCGCCCCAACTGCGTGAGCATGATCGAGCATGGAAAGACCCTACTGGCCAGGGACGCAGACACTGCACCTTCTTTCCACAACCGCATGCTAACTCTCGAGTGAAACAAGTCCTGCTTGAAAAGACATGGCATGGCGGTCGCCCTTTGCAGCTTCCCGCATCAGAAAGGCTAGTCTTTGGCCCGCGGAAGCCGACGAAAGTCTCAGACTCAGGCCGTCAGTAGCACGACCGTGGAATTGTGCAGATCTTAGCTGGGAGGGTTGGTCAACAGCAGTGCCGTCTGCAACAGCTGGATTCGCACTATGCACACAGTCGAAATGCTCACTACAACACCTGTTAAACACTGCCAAACTTTGTCGAGCCGAGCATCTGAGCAGCTCCGGCAGCAGCCGCATGTCTTGGGACATAACTTTGCAATGTGCGGAAGATCGCAGTGTAAGCCGTACTGTTTCCTCAATGAACGGCACAGTTTGTGAATTCATGGCACGCTGCCCACTGCAACTTCGGCCAGATTTGCATTATCGGAGCTACGCAAACTGTCGACATTGTGCATTTCTAAGGGTCGCTGGGCACGAAGCTTTGCGCACTGTTAGAGGATTTTTTCTTTTCTCCCATGTGTCAGTGGTCCCAAACTCGGCATGCCAGAGGATGCACAGCTGTTACATTCCTATGTGACAAGCACGCAGCAACTACAAAAAAGAAAATAGTGAGGAAACATCTGGTCAAGCATGCCGGCTACATGCACAGTCAAGAACTTCAGATCCTTTGAAGCTGCTGCATCTGCACCAACATGCCATCAAGAGACCAGGGATCAGTGCACTCAAGTCGGTCACGTCGCAGATCGAAGCACGACGTCTCACACGTCCGACAGCCGCGTTCATCACCTGACGTGATTTTGGCGCGTGTAAAACGGATCTGCGATGTCATCCGTGGTTGAAGCAAACTGCATGTCAAATGTAATGCAGCATGTCATTTGCTACCACTGCACGGCTCATGTGAACACACAGCTGGACAAATGCCTGTTGTCTCGTTCACAACGTTCTTCCCAGCCTCATAGTTGCTCAGATCACAGCTCAAGATGAAGTTGAAAGACACGCACATATGCTCGACCCAAACTGAGAGGCAGGACAACTTGCAGCAGCGAAGTGGAACATCTGCCGTCCTCTCACTACAAGCATCATGTCTAAGTTCTACCGATCATCTGTACGCGGCGAGCCCGCACCCATTCCACAGCCCGCTTGCCCCGTCCTCGTCCTGGCATGTTTCGTCCAAGTTCAAAGCGCGGCGTACTTCTGAAGCTTCTGTGCTGTCCAGGCTGTCCACGGCAAGGGCAAGACCAACCCTCAGCACGAACAAAGCGACCACACGCATCCTTCTCCCACACCTTGGTTCGGACAGGACTCAAATTGCACATGAAAGCATTAAAGCCCCAAAGTACTTCGCATGACGAGCCTTTTTGTTGACCGGCAACTCGTTTCCTTAAACCTCGTGTCTTTTCCTGACCTTTGTGCACAAATGGTTTCAGCGGGGTCCAGAATTGGACCACGTTTATGCGGAGCTTGTCTGTCAGACAGGGGCCACTAAACACCCGGCTGGAAGGGGGTGTGGGTGTGGGTGGGTGCGCCGTGCGTGCGTGCGTGCGTGCGCGTGCGTGCGTGCGTGCGTGCGTGCGCGCGCTGGTTCTGTGTTGGACTTCTTTGGCAGGCAGACACAACAGTTGAAGAGCTCGTGCACATTGAACGTCGCTGCACTCAAGGAGTTGATCCTGTTGGCAAAAAGACATCGCCCCGTGGCCCTATATTGACATCCAGGCGAAGCACTGCCAGTGTCGAAGAGCGACTGAGATTGAGCATGCGGCTGCGGCATGCAAATCCATGTGATACAGAAGGAAGCTCCCGTTGTTGACAGTCAGAAACAGCCCGGACTTCGCACTGGGCAGTGTGAGGGGTTGTCCCTACCTCGTCGAGGGCAAAGTCGATGTAGTCTCGCAGGCCATGCCTACAGCTGGTCACAAGACTGACCACACTCCCCAAAACGTCGAGATGGCATTTCTCGTGGGAGCCAGGCTGTAGCATGTGCAAAGTGGCTCGCTCCGACGGTTGCAAACTTTCCGCCACCTCACCGTCTTCCACCACCTCACAGCTCATCTTGGTGCGCACGACACTCCTCGACGTGGGGGACGACAGCAAAGGCCCTCGTCCAGCCAACCCCATCCAATCAAAAGAAGGCATGTGCGACGGTGTTCGTCTTGCAAAGCATGCAACGCAGATGATACTGGCATGCCTTCTGCAAGATGGCCAGCTCTTTATCCTCAGCATCCATGACTCAATGACTGTGCATCCTGCGACACACAACTCCAGATCATCTGAGGCTCTCCGTGGCGGTTCTTGTTTTCGTCGAAAACCCCATAGCGAGCTTCATACTCCTGCCACAGGGTCAGGCAGCTTCTCTCAAGGCCCACTCTCGAACTTGTCCAGAAGGATGCCTCAGCCCTCTGCAAACGACCCTTCCGTCCAAACCAAAGACGCACTTGCGGGCACACTCTCCTTGAGCTTGAACTTCAGGGCCTCTATGATAGATGTTCCGTTCCATTTCTTTTGCCTCGGCGCGGGTCAGGATCGAATAGTGACACAACAATACTGGCATTTTCTGGCACATGTGGCGGAAGATATGGGGAGCCGACAGACGCTTCACCAGCTCCTCACCACTCCGAAAGCATTCACACATGCGATCATTGGAGTGTTGATCGAATCGGTGCCTCTGGGTCTCCGATATGGGCACCAAACTGCTTCGGAGCCTGATCCTTCCTGAGACAGCTGACATCGCGAAAACCTGCATTCCTGCGTGCACACAGACCGCTTCTGTCGATCCAGCCCAAGCTTCACTGTGGATCCCTGCGTGGAAAATCCACGCCTCGCCATCCTGAAGAACTGCGCTCCCAGTGCCACGGGACTCCCACTGGGCCACGTCCCAAGCCTCAACGGCCTTCTTTCAGATGGGCGGCGTGGGAAGGAGCAACGCTGAGAGCCAATCTTGCGGAGACCCTACGGCCCTAGTCCAACATTAGCAGAAAGAGTTTTCGCCCGTTGAGAACAAAACTTGCTGCGGCGATTCTCTGCTGCGTGATGAGCTTGCAGAGCCCATGGTGAAGACACCTGCGACGGCAACAGAATCTGCGGGCGACGGCACCCCTCGGCAACCTCTTGCCTTGAGGCTCTGCATCATCCCAGCTGCTTGATGGAGGCGCGTATTGACGAGATGCCTCTACACAACTCGGACACAAGCAAACACTGCAGCAAGTCGCGGGCACCACTCGAGCCACGCTCCTTTTCGAAGCAGCCTGTTCCACCCTGCTGGGACCCCACGAGGCATCACTTTCAACGGGCGACACATCGAACTGTTGATTGGCCAGCGGCGGAAGTTCTTCAGAACGTGTGGCAAAGGCATCGCCTATCTGCGACAAGTTGGGTGTCATGCAGCCCACACCACTCTCTGCAGGCTGAGCTGCAAGCACCACTAGCAGGGCCCGATGTGGTGGGTTCGGTGTAGCTCCAACTTGTGACTGGCGAACATGCGCCGGAGTACGCGGAGGGGCGGTGGCGCTTCGCATCTGCCGGCCCCGCCGTCCACCCAAGCACGTGACGCAGACAAGTGTTCAAAGGTCCGGCGGCTGGAAGTGGCTCCAGCGGAGTGGCTGCCAAACTCCGTTGACCTGACCCCTCGGAGCTCGGAGGGCTCAGGACCTCCACCGTCGCTGTGACGGCGACCTTCCCTGGACGGCAGCGCACCTCAAACCAGTCCTTGACATCGCCGTCAACATGACCTGGAGGACGTGCTGAGCTGCGCAGCACTGCCCTTGGAAGCGCCTGGCGAGCTCTGCCAAAGGTCAGCCGGAAGCTGCTCGGTCCAGCCAGCCGAAGCTTCCAGCTGGAACGGACTTTGAAGAGCCTCGCAGAGGATCCAGCCCGCTGAGAGATTGGCCGGGCAGCCGGATTTTGCGCGTCAGGGGAAACCAAACCAAAAGCCAAGTGCCGATCTTCTTTTCGGAACTGGGATGAGGAGGTCAGCGGGGGGCGCCAGAAAACTTCCAGCGATGTCATGGCTTGCTTGTGCACCAGCCGTCTCGACGGGTTCCATACCTTGCGATGAGATCACTTGGACTGAACTCCTTTGAGCACAGAAGGTGTTCGGCATGTAGGCTTCTGCAACGTCTTCTCGGGGCTCCCGGCCAAGTTGTCGCACATCCCCGGAGCTTAGGTTGGGCAGCAACTGCTTCGGCTCCTTACAAGAAAAGGATTCCCAAGGGAACGGCCTCATCTGCACGGCATTCTTCCTCAGGGGGCACAGAGATTCTTCTCAAGACGCCGAGGCTCTTCTCAGGGGTTACGCAGAGGCTAGCGGGCTACCGAGGAGGGCGCCGGAAAGCGAAGCAGAAATGCAAAAAAACGCAAGGACCAGAACCCAGATCAATAGACATCTGCTGAGCATCTCCAGCCCCTGCAACGGAATGAACTTCGTTTGAGCCAACGCCCGTCGAGGACGCCGACGCCTCGTCACTTGTGGCACCGCTTTCAGCAGCCGTGGTTACCTTGGTTCCTTCCCTGAAGAGCTCAGATATTGGCCAGGGCAGATGCAAGTCTGCATAGTCAGCCGCAACGGACTCCTGCTCGATGAAGTCATGACCCAAACTGCAACTGCACTGCGCTTCCACGCTTCCGCATCGAAAACAGAACCGACCTGCACAAAATGCTGACTGTTCAAGATTTGACGCACCGCTGAGGGACCTTTGCAAACAGAAGGCAGCTAGCTGCTCCATCATAATTAGTCCTACAGACCCAATATCAGAAATTGATGAACCTCGTGACTTGCTGCCTCCACAGCGACAGGTCATCTTGTCACAGCCAGTGAGCCAACCAGGCTCTTGTTTCTCAATCCAAACCCCACACCGCGGGCATCTTCTGCATCCAAAGTCCTGCATCATCCTGACCTCCTCCACTTCCAAAGTGTTCGTGTGATCTTGCTCTTGTCGAGGAAGCTCCCGCAGCTCGCGCCAAAGATTGTGCAGCCGTAGCCAGGCACGACAGGCTCGCGGAGAAAGGCTCCGGTGAATTTCACGCAGCGACAGCGGTCTCAAGCAGAAGGGACAGGTACAAGGAAACTTGCCGTCTTCGGCTTGGATGATCAGATGCTTCGACAGGCATACTCGGTGCACTTGAGGGCATGCTTCGTCATTCTCGGGTGCACTAGAGCTCTCCAAAGCAGCCCGTTTACATGGCTCCAGCGATGCCCCATCCGCCTCACTGATGGTGCTGTAGCAGATCATGCACAGGTCTTGGTGCATGGCATCTCTGTTGCTAGTTTCAACAGCTCATGCTTGGGTGGGCTTAGTGGCCTAAGCGGCAGCGATTTGGCACATTCCTGCGCGCCATATTTCATCACCTACACCTACATCTTTCTTGGGCCCTGCTGAATCTGAGGAATCCAGAAGGTTACCGGAAATGGTTCCCCTCAACATCCAACGAGTCCTCGGGAATGGGACATCACGATGTACAAAGTGCACTCACCTTGAAACCCCCGGCTTGTTCGAAGAACATGACAGCCCCATCCAAATGCTCCTCAAACCTGGAATTCCTTGCCGTCTTTTCTTCATCTCGCATTGCCGCTGGAAGCTTCAAAGCTCAGATTGCGCCTCTTTGATGCCGAACGAGACTCCACCTCCAAAACATCGGCTGGCTCTTGACTGTCCTATCGCATCCCGGAAATTAGCCTGTCTCAGCAACGCGCATCACCGCAGGCGGCAAATTCTTGTATTCCGCAGGCCTGAAGTATATCACTTCGCATCACAGCTCGGTCGGAGAAATCCACCACTCTAAGCCGCTCGTGCTCCTAGAGCATTCGGAAGCTACTGGACACTGAGAAAAGCACACCGTTTCCCGGTACCCTCCGTGCAGTTTGAAGGAGGGTGCAGACGGTGCGGCAGCAGGCTGCGGGCCTGCAACATAAAAACTTCTATAGCTGACATTGACGAATCAGGTCTTGAGTGCGCGCGGAACACTGCCAAACAGTCAAGGCTCGTTGCCCTAAAGCTTGAGACACGGCATGCACTCGGAGATGTCATGAGCCTGGTTCCTTCTGTCGTTGTGACCTGACTGGGTGCAAGAAGGCATCAGGATGCTCTGCCACCAAGTATCCAGACTGAATACTTTGGAAGGCGTCGGACAAAGGCCGCAGGACTTTGGCCAACTGTGTTCAAGTCAACAGAAATGGCAGCATCTGGCACCGATGATTAGCTATGCCTAAGCTGCGGGCATCAGATCGTCGTCCCCTGCATGAAGGACTCAAAGCGTTTGCAAAAGCACGTCCGTCTGGGTCCAGACGCGCCGTGGCTGGGGTGGGATGGACTTTATGACAAGACAACTGTTACTGCAACGAGCTTCTCGGCAGCGTTGCAACTACCACCAGTGGGAGGGATGCCAGCTTGCAAGGTGGCATGACTCATAGTTCTAATTCAACTGTTGTCGCGAGGCGAAAGCGAAAGCCTTTGCCCCTTTCTGCCTGACCGAACTCACCGGACTGCTGTTATGCCTGGCCTCTGATCTCAACAGCCCGGGCCGCACCCACACGCGCCTCACGGTGCAGCCATACAGTTCAAGCAAGTTCGGCAAGTGACACGGCTGCCTGCATTGCTGCCAGGACAGCATCTGATGGCTCAAAGGTGCCGAAAGAAGTCGACATGGCAAACACAAGCTGAAAGACAAGCCGAACCAAAAATTTGTTCTGCTGTGATGCTTCTTTCTTGCAGACTTGTTGCTTGCAACGTCTCCAGAAAGTGCTGGCTGCTGTAAGTCTTATGCAGCTGGAAGTCTTACACCATGTGGACGATGCTTCGGACCTTCTGCCTGGCAGCAGCTTTTGCTGCCGCTGCCGTCTAACTCCTCCCATCTGTGAAACCATTAAACAGCTGCAAGGGAAGGTTTTCATGCGCTGCATGTTCGGGTACAGTATCTGGTGACAACGTGCACGACGGTCCGCATACATGTCTAAAGTTTGCCCACCATAAGACTGCAGTGTTAGCTTCTACAGTTCATGCATTTTCTTACCACTTATCTAGATTGTCTTCAAATGCTTGATGGAAAGCTGAGAATATCTCCAATGCCAGTCCGGAGGAGCAGCACATCCATGTCAGCGCTTGTGGCTAGCGCCATTTTGTCAAACCATTCGTTCTGCAAAGCGATGTTGCCTTGCAACGGTCAGGCTTCATTAACGAGGCTCAGATAGCAATCAAGCGCTCTTTGGCCATTCAATGTTGCTCTCTGGCCGACGCCCCATCTGAAACAACTCCACCAGACAAATATCGCAACAACATATTCACGCGACAAGTCCTGGTGTTATTCACAGCCAGAGTGATTCTGGTGTCTGGTGGAGGATGCGGTCCACAATCACTAACGGCGTTGCGCGGCTGCGAATTCCGCAGCGCGGCGAAGCATGGCTTGCCTCCAGAATGAGATGCCAGTGGGCCTGATCCCCACTGTGGTTTCATGGGACAGTCACCGGCAAATCCACACATTGGCCAAAGTAAGAACCTCAAACTGCCAGACAGACACAATAGTCTACAACAGTGTTCTTATACCAAGCTTACCGATCCACGAATCTACGCAGAACCCTCGAACCTACGTATCCTAGTTAAGAATCTGGCTACGGAGTGAAACTGTTCCTAATTTCTGTGTAGAAGCATGGGGCAGCCTATAAACTCCTGCATGAGCAATGCTTCTCACCGTAACCTGTTTACAACACCCAAACCGTTTCAATACCCAAAGACCTTCGAGAGCTGGTCAAATGCAATCCTTCAAGGGCAGCCAAACTATTCTTACACTACGCCCGCAAGCCTGCGCATTCTGATGCTTTGGACTGCCGACAGGTCGATCAACAGCAGCATGTCAAGAGATGACACTGGCCTGGCCTTTGCAAGCTCATCTGGGCACTTCGAGGATCTGCCTGCAGCGTGCAACCACTGTGAATGTCGTCTGAGTCCCAAGAGTCGATAAAAGGCGCCTCAATTCGAACTGCTACGATCAACTTTCAAACATCCGTCTCCAAAAACCAAGCACGAGCTCGCAGAGTTCAGGACAGGACAGCCGAGCTCATAGGAACTGTGAGGGTCTTGAGTCAACACCCTTCAACTTGCTTCAAGCCGGCCTGCGACACAGCTCCAGATCTGTAGCCTGGAGGCGTCTGCTCTGGCATGGGCATGCCCGGAACGCCCGGCATGCCCGGCATGCCCGGTATGCCCGTGCTTTGTGGAAAGCTGGTTGGTGTCCCTGGCACGTTTCCTGTCATTGCTGGCACAGCCTGGGCCTGCCCTCCGAAGGCGCAAGCGACTGGTGGCTGGGATGGCTGGGACGTGTGCTCTGGGCTGCGGCCGAATTCAGGAAAATAGCTCTCCCCGAACTCCGACAGTACGGAGCCGTCAGCTTGCGCTGGGCTGTAGGACTGCGCAAGTGGAAAAGTGGTGGCCATTTGAGGCCCAGCCTGCCGAACCTGACCTGTGGGCAAGGGAAGCTGACACGGAGCCGCTCCGAAGGGCGCTCCGGCTGCTGCACCGGCGACACCTTCTCGTGCACAGGGCAAGGGAGGAGAGGATGCACTCTGTGCCTGCCGGCCTGCCGGACACTGTCCCGGCGGTCCCTGTGGTGGGCCCGCGGCTGTGGCCGCGGCCGCTGGCGCCTCTCCTGCAGCTGAGAAGCGCAGGCTTGGGGGTCCCGGCCCAGGGTCCGTGCGTCTCCTTCGGCAAAAAGCTCCCGCATGGCTGCTCCTCGAAGGTTTCGTTTCACCATGGCCCTGGCCAACAGCTACCATCGTGCATCATGGGTACAGGGCGTGCTTGCCGTTGCAGTCATACAACCTCTCGTGCCTCTGCTGCTTGTCCAGGATGAGTGCTCGCTTTTGCACTTGGTGACGACGACGTGCCTGCGGATTTTAGGATGAGGTTTGACTGCATCAGAGTTATGATTGCAGCCACCTGAATCACCAGGGCAGCATCATTGCGTCGCTTTTCTTCCATCGCTTTTAAACGTCGCTCTATCTTTGCCTGAAGCTTCTCTCGTCCACTGCATGCTGTGACGTAGTGGGGCATACAGCTGGCCTTCTCGATGGCCTTCTGCCGTCTTCTCTCCTGCCGTTCTGCTTCAAGCTTGTCTCTGATTTTCTTCCTGGGCACAGCACGCGTGCACATGCGTGCAGCCTGGCAGAATGGTGCTGCATCAAGAATGGAGCAGGAGCTGAACGCAGTAAGGTCAAGGCATTTCTTCAAACACTCTACGCCTGAGCCGGCATCCCGTTTTGGAGCCAAAATAGTTATTTGCACAAGACGGTCAATACCTTTTCCAGGCCTTGCCAGCTGCAGCCGGCGCGCTGCTTGGATCATGAGAGCAGCCCTGGTCAGCTGGTACTCCTTGCCAAGGACTGCGCAGTTGCATCTTGCAGTTCAAACTGAAAAAAAACTTGTCAATGCACAGATCCTGGAATCGCTCGTATCGCTTGCGGGCGTGCTCGACTTCCTAAGTCGCTGCAAGGCACAACAGGATGGAATAGTAAGACCAAGGGTAGAGACATGCAGAGACTGCTTGCTGACAGCTGACAAGGCTTACATTGCTCTGCACGCAACTCGCCTTACTCAACCAGCGCAAAGCACCCGTCTCTAGCAATGCTTGACGAAAGCCATGCGCCCGCTCACTGTAACGAAGCATCGAACTTGTGTTCGCTCGATTGGATCAACCTGCCTCTTTCCAAAGCGTTTGCCTTCTCTTGCCTATTCACTCTCTACAGGGATTCATGTTGCTCTGTGAAACTCGCATTTCTTATCTCGAAATGCCCCGTTTACAAGAGCAAACGTGGGAATGCCGGCATCAGGGTCCACCATGGAATTGACAAGTGCCGGTATGCCGTCATGGTAAGACGGGCACGCGCTTCCGCTGCTGTCTGATCTTCTCCTGGTGCCCGCATATTCAACAAAGTGAATCTGCAATTACCAGGCTGGGTCCAGTTGGGCTTCTTCTTCGAGTGGGTTCGACTCTGCAGGGCCAGGCTCCGTAGAAGCAGGGGGATGCCGTCTCAGCCGCTCAGCTGAGTTCCCAACCAGAAGAAAAAACACCGTGCAACCATGCGGCAGTTATGGCCCCAGAAGCTCCGGCAGCAATCTGAAGGTATCCCATGTGCAAACCAGGCCAACTACACAAACATGTTGTCCTGCTCACGAACACGTTCAAAGTAGGCATCTTCCTGCACATGCCCCACCATTTTCTGCAGTTGACATGTGTTGCGATGTTTGCGTGGAACTGGCGGACCTCCTTCTTCTGCTTTTCGCGATCCTTGCGCCATCTGTCCTCCCTTTGCTTCTCCTCCTCCTGGGAACTTCGAAAGGTGACGCCCGGCTGGTTTGCTCCGAGAGAGCTAGACGAGCCAGATTGAGGTTCCAGTGAGAAATCCAGTCCTCCTTCCGTTTAGCCTCCTTGTATCGACGGTACTCTCTCCTGGACAAGATATGCTCCACAAGACAAAACACGACGGTTCATGGTGCGCTTCCTCTGTTGCGAGCCACAACTGAATCAAGGTGGAGCAACAACTGTAGGTCTCTGCAGCAGATGCTTCTGCCGTCTGCCCGACAGACGAGCTCGGCCTTGCCAGCTGGCCCCGCCGGACGGCTTGAACTTTCGTCGCCGCAACCTTGAGTGAAGCATCATGTGTTTTTCCTCTGCTTCGTTCTGGACATTCCCTTCCCGCTGTCCCGCCTTCCGGCGCTTAATCTTCATCTCATCGAGCTTCTTCTTGGTGGCCTCTTGCCGCAGGACACTCCCACATATCGCATGCTAGCCCGGGGAATTGAGCTTGAGATGCCGCTGTAACGAAGTGTGCTTGACCATGATCATGCTTCACGGTTGCTTGGGATCTTGCAGCGATCTCTTTTCGCAGAGCTTCCTGCAAACAACTGCAGTGAAGGGTTGGTTGGGCCTATGCCGAAAAGCCCTTGCCTTGCGCTCGGCTTCCTCCCTCTGAACTCGTTGTCTCTTTGCCTCCTGCTGGGCTCGGGACTTCCAGCGCAGACTCAGGGGCGCTCGCTTGGCTTTCAGTTCGCATTGGCATTCTTTCAACTCGGCTAGCACGGGTGGAGTACACCAGCTGCACCAAAACAGGGCTTACATGTCGACTGCCGCACCTCTTGCAGCGACGGATAATGCTCATGCGACGGGACACAAACTCAGCTGCCCAACCACAATCATCACATGTGACAGGGGTGACCTGCACGCGCACACTGCTGCCGTCCCATTCCGGCGGTATTTCTCGCATCATGCGCCATTCTGCAGACTTGTTCTTCAGAGTTCTTGCCTGCCGCATAACGTGCTCCAAGTGGTGGCTGGCTTCTTTGGAGCTTATGCCAGCAGCCTCCGCTAGAGTGCCTATTGTGTGAGTGTCCCCGCGCACGAGGGCACGCCACAAGCGAATCCTGGATGTGATCTGTGGTGGTGGCACCGCTTGAGGGCTCACATTTTCAGAAGCTGCAGCACCGTAGCCATGCCGAGATTTGCCAGGAGTTGCCCTTCTTTGCCCGAGGCAGCCAAAGGCCGCTAGGAAATGCAGCAGTCCGGGCTGCTGTCCTGCGCTGAAACTGTGACTCCGCTGCACAAACTGAAGGCTTTCGCCGAATCTTGCATGCTGCGGCAGGCGCTGTGGCAGGCGCTGTGGCAGGCGCTGTGGCAGGCGCTGTGAGCGGTGTTCCGGAAGGGTGCCAGGCTTCCATCGAAGACTCTGCATGGACTCTACACACGATGCCTCTCAGCCAAGCCTCGTGCGGCCGTGCACACGCAGTCAACTCGGCAGCTGCAGTCTGCGTTCTCAAAGCACTCGGCTGGTTCACAAGTCCTCTAACATTGCCTTCTTTCGCTTCCTTTCTGCCTCCCGCAGGTTGAGCTCAAGCCACAGCAAAAGCCGCTTGGCCCACGAGGCTCAGCCTCTCTGATGTGCTGCTCGTGCCTCCTCGTTGGCTCGCTTCTCCTTGAGTTCCTTCCTGGAGAAGTAAAAGGCAAGCCACAAGACAGGAAGCACTGCTGACGAGCCTGAAACTGAACCTGCAGAGAGTTCCACGGATGTATGCCTTTCCAGCACAGGGAGGGCAGAGATCAGATACGAAAGGATGACGGGCGGATAGACCAGATTGGCCCGTAGCGCAACTGGCGACAAGACAGATCAAAGAGAGAGAGAGAGAGAGAGAGAGAGAGAGACCTTCGCAGAGGGAGACAGAGAGACGGATGGACCGACCAAGACATGTAGGCAAACAGAGAGACGGACCGACGGGTCAAAACAGGCAGAGACAAACAAGAAACCGACAGACACCAGACACCGTCAGAGAGGTGGGCAAAGGAGGCTGGAAGACGGACACGGACACGTCTCGACGGAGAGGCAGACAGAGCGACGGACAGAGGGTGCGAAAACATGGGAACGAGCTCAGGGAAAGTGCAGACAGCACAGCACTTGATGGACGTTCCTGGATGCGGACGGCAGCACGGTAGCGGCGCTTCTCCTCCATTTCCTGCAAACGGCCGGTCTCCAAGCTGAGATAAGCTGAGCGTAGCCAGGCGTAGAAACAACACGGGCCACTAGAGAAGATGCCTTCAACTTCTTGTTGATCCATGCCAGGTCCTTCCTCGTATTGACATGCAAGACAGACTGGTTGCGAAGAGGTAGAGGGCAAGCCGGGCACACCGAGGAAGGTGCAAAAGCTGCTCCCTCTTGCGTGCATCTTCTTCCTGCCGTCTCTGCAAGTCTCTCACCTTGCCCACTGAGTCGGGCAAGCACGGGCCTCCTTGCGACGAAGTTCACGACCCCTTTTTGCAGCATCTCGCTCCTCACGACGCCTTTGTTTCCTTGTTCCAGTTCCAGGCGCTTGAAACTAAGGCTCCACTATCCGCAGTACATGCCACTCATCCTCGGACTGCACTAAGCTTTAAGCTCTTTCTTCTCTTTGCGTCGGGTCATGAAGCCTCGCACAACGGCCTGGATCTTCTCCATGATTTGTTGGCGTCTCTTTTCCTCTAAATCCTCCCACTTGTTGCGAAGGATCTCTCTCTCTCGGATGTATTGCTTTGCTTTTTGCTTCTTCTGCTGAGCTGCCAGGGCGGCTCGCTGAGCTCGATCCTTTTCGTTTCGTTCGGCGACCTTCCTCTTCTTCTCAAGTTCTCTGAGACGCAGTTGCTGACGCCTCTCGAGCTGACCCCGTCGTGCTGCCTGAATCTTTCTGGCGGCCTTGTCTTGCCACTTCCTTTCCAAATCTCTTGCGATGGACTTTGCCAGGTCCTCCTGCCGACGCCTCTCTGCCTCCGCCCGCCGCCGCTGCTCGATCCTTTCCTCGCGCTTCCTCAAAGCCTTGGCCTCCAAACGCTGCTGCTCCCGAAGTCGCGCGGCGGTCGCACGGGCCTGTTTGATCCGTGCCGTCTCGACCCGGACTTTGTAGCCACGCCAGACTTTTGCAATCGACGTTACTGCCTTTGCTTTGCGTCGCTCTGCCATTTCCTTGATCCTCTGCTCAATGGCAAGTCTCTCCTTCGCCTTGTCCATGGCAAGCTGCCGCTTCCTCTCCAGCTTCTCTTGCCTAAGGCGTCTGATCTCTTCCAAGCCAGACCGGCGCGCCATCTGCGAACGACGCATGCGCTGAATCTTGATGGCGGCCTGCTTGCGTTTTATTTCCTCCGCCCACTCAATTCGCTTCACAAACTCCTCTTTCTGTTTCCTCATTTCCACAACACGCCGCTCTTTGTCATAGTTCCTTCGAGCCAGTCTACCTCGTTGAAGCTTCTGAATCAGGACTGCTGCGCCTTCCTTCTTCCTCTTCTCGAGCTCCTCCACGCGCTTCCTGGCTTGGACTCGTTCCTTGCTGGCCGGGTGCAGCTCAAGTTCTGATGCATCACGAACAGCCAGCACTTCGAAAACTCAAGATGTGGCTACAAAAATTGTTAAAACAACGGAATCAGTGAAGGCTCCAGTTGTCTGACAACGCGCCCTTGTCTCCTGGCGGCTCACTGCTCACTTTTTTAGGTAAGTCTGTGAAGAGCCGAGCATGATGCCGGGCACTCTGAGCCAGCTGGCCTCTGTTCAAACGCTAATTTCTTCTTTGCCTGGTAGCTTGCATGAAATCCTACAGGATGTTACCATGCTTGCAATGACTTCACACATCTAACACGGGCTGCTTCAAACCTCGATGGCACGTTGCACTTTCTTTGCTCTCCAGAGTGCTTGAATCCTCGATGCCTCGACAACTGGAACGGTAGGGCAACATCTCGGAAGGTGCTGAGTGCTGAGTTCACTGCATACTTCTCCCGTTGTCGCTCCTTGCATCAACCCACATGCCAGCACCAGAGGAGACCATCGTAGAGCCCATGTCAGGGCACGTTGCATTTCTCGAGTCGCTGAACGCTCCAGACCGCTGGCCTCCATTTCTTCGATTCGCTTCGCCAGCTGCTCTTTCTCTCGCAGCCGTTTCTCCTGTCTCGGAGACTTCGTGAGACTTTGGAGAGCCACACCAGTCCGACCGGCGCTGCAACCGCAAATAACCCGCACCTTTTCCAGGACAACTCGTCGCATGTGCATCTCCTTGCAGCAAAGCTGGAAATCATCCGCAGGCCCTCTTCCGACTCTTCGGGGGACCTCGGCTTCCATTCGAGTCCTTTCCTCAAGCTCCTTCCGCTCCTGCGTGCATCGGAGGCAGAGTGCTTTGAAAGCGGCCATATTAGCGGCGCTCCTGCAGCCGCTTCTCCCGCAGCAGCGCCTGCCTCGGAGCGGAGACGGCGGACAATCGCGGCAGAGGTGGAGGCTACCCGGGCCCCGGTCTCCTCCCTCCACATGGCCGCCCGCTCCAAATCCTCGCGGATCCAAGCGTGCTCTCCCTTACAGTGCTCTCAGAGAAAGAGGAGGCAGGAGCCGGAGGACGGAGGAGAGAAAGAGGAAGAGTTCGGAGAGTTCGGTGTCGCTGGGCCTCAGCCTTGCGCTCTTCTGCCATGGCATCTTTTGCCTCAGTCACAAGTCGCCGGTACCGAGGCCAACGCAAGAAGCCTTCTGAAAAGAAAGAAACCTGACCTTGGCTTCTTCGACCACTTTGGCTGCTTGGCGTTCTGCTGCCTGGGGCATGGATGCCATGGGCAGCGAAGAAGACCCGGCTGAATTCACGGCTTGAGCCCAGCCACCTCTGCGGCACGCTGGGCCTTCTCCCGCTCGATTTCCTTGCGGGCCTCCTCCAGGAGCCGCTCTTTCTCCAGGAGTTCTCGCTTCAACTGCGCCGCGATGGCATCTGCTGAAGCCGGAGATGCTATGTCCTCACCTTCCAGAAGCTCTTGCAACTCTTCAGGGGACACGGCATTGGCTTCCCGCAGTGTGAGACCCAGCTCGATGGACCGACGGCGGAGCTCCTTCACCTTGCTCTCGTCAAGAGGCTCGGGACGGAACGTGCGCTGCACCTCCTTCATCTCGATTAGTCCGTTTTGATTAGTGTCCATTTTAACCAGCAGGGCATCCAACAGATAGCTTGGCATCGCTATTCCAAGACGTTTCAGGCCTTGCTTTAGCTCGCCCCTGTCCAACGCTCCTGTCCGATCATGATCGAGCGCATTGAAGAAGCTTTTCGCATCCTGAATGGTCTGTCCAAACAATGTTTGCTCTGTGTGCATCTGCACCGTGATCTGGGCGACAACATCGGCAATCCTTAAGGAGCACGTGCGATTCTCGAACAGTTTGACAGGCGGCTTATACTTATACCCTGCAGACGCGATGTGTTCTGGCCATCTATGACTAATTATGAACGATTTAGTATTGGCTCCGAAGAATCCGTATGCCACCACAAGCCACAAGCTGATGCTGTTTCGTTGCAGTGCAGCCCAGAAGCTGTGCTTGGATTTCGTCCTCACTGGGAAGTGAAGCTTGCCGCTCTGCTTGTAAGCGGGACAGGCCTGAGTTGCGGATTTCAGAAAGCCCAAGCTGCTACCAGTACTGTGTTGTGTCGAAGCGGGCCTCTAGGTCGCTTTACTATGGCGTATGGCCTGTGGACAAGTCGCGCTGGGCCTCCTCTTCCTTGAGCTGCTCAGGGTCGGCAGTGGGTTCGAACAGCAGGACCAGCTCAGGCAGCTCGATCAGGCCGCTCTTGTTGCCTCGAGTCTAAAGGCGTGAAGGCTCCATTCCCAACATTCAGGGCCGAGAGATTGCAGCCCAGCTGCCATCCAGCGCATTGATGAGCACCACGATCTGATACTCCGGAACTGTCACGCCGAGACGTTGCAATCCCTGGAACAGCTCGTCCTTCTCGAGGGCACCACTACCGTCTCCTCAGCAAGGATTGGAACAGGCAACACACTCGTTGCGAGAAACAGCACTGCACACCGAATACTAGAAAGTGTAACAGTCTTACAAAGACGCCAGCCGAGTCGCTGTCCACCGCCTCGTAGAATGTCCGAGCATCCGTGACCCTTTTACCGTACAGTGTGCGTCCTCCAGCTTTTAACGTGAATTTGATCTTCCCGGTAACTTCTTTAAGGACCTTTTCACTTTGCGCACGCTCTTCCTCCGCACCTCCATCCGGGTCTGTCCATGAAGCTGGATCCAACAACCGTACGAATTCTTTCATTTCTATTCTCCTGCTTCGGTCCACGTCGCCAGCATTCACCAAATCCTCTAGCAACTTCTCGGAAATCGAGATCTTCAATCTCTTGAAACCCTTGGAGATCTCTGCCTTCGTGAGAGAGCGGGTGCTGTCCGTATCCAGCGCTTTGAAGAAGCCGTTAACGTCCCTGACCTTGGAGCCCGAGATTGTGATCCCTTGCTTGAGCTTGTCGTTTACAGCCACCACCACGGCACGTAGCTCGTCCTGCAAGGCGACATGAAAGCCCTGCCATAAGGAGATACAATAGTTGTCGACAACCTATGCGGTTGGTCAGTGAGCGTTTGATGTATCTTGGCCTAGTTACTCCGGTCGTGCCTTGCGCGGGTGCTGGAACAGCAGGCTCGCTGCTCTTCGTGTCGCAGGATTCATGGCTCGCACGAAGGCAGCAACTTCAACACACTGGTCCGCATTCACCTCCATTGATGAGACAAACTGGGTCAGCTCGTCATCGAGTCCCAATCCGAGTTGCATCAAGCTGGTGAGTATTTGCTCTCGCTCCAACATGCCCCGACCGTCGCTGTCAATTGCATAGTACAAACCTTCTTCATCTTGGACCACTTGACCATTCACTGTAACACCCCCAGACGAAAGAACGGATCTCAGAGCTTCCACGGCACTCTCTGTACCTGTATTGCGCTGAGTTGACATGGCTTATAGCCACTCAGCACCACGCTGCAGACAGCTGTCCTCCATGCCACATGTAGCTCTCTGTCATTTCCGGGCAACCAGCACAAAGCATACAAAGCCTCCAGTTCGGAAAGCTCTTGGCTCTCCATTTATCCTGCAGCCATCTGGGAAACGCAGCAACAAAGCATTCCGCTGTGCCATTCCTTGTGCAATTTATTTCAATTTCAGTGCGTAAATGCGCTTCGAACATGTATTCGCTGGTAGTTCTACTCTGCAGTGCCGACCTTATGTTTTGCTGTCGCTGAAAGGGCATTGGACGTTGACACCACGTCTAGCCTACCAGAACCCGCACAGACCGTGCTGAGAGAAAAAGCACGTAAACTCCTGGAGTCCCGGTTTTCGGCCGCAGCACAACGACTTGGTGACTCTGTGAAACTTTTGACGCTTCGCGCGACGGGTCTCAGAGGGTCAGCGCTCTCCAAGTCATCTCCCCATCCTCGGGCGGCAAACTTGGTGCCGTGCAGAGTTGATCGACTCAAAGTGCCCGCCTCACGACTCTTGCAATGTCGGTGATCCTGTCCCGCATGGCCTGCGACAGCGGTTCAAGGAGACTTACATGTTTTCGAAGGTCCACACCACCTGGTCCATCGGCGGCCCCTTGCCACGCTCGTGCATCTCTAGATGCCTTGGAACACTTCGGCTAAGACACCCCCAGAAAGGCAGCGCCTAAACTTAAACTTTTAAGCACGAAATTTGTATGCACAAGCGACCATGTAAGCAACGATCTGCAAAACAGCGCTGGCTCAAGTTGTGCACAGGCGGCTTGATGATTTGAGCAGCCCTGTACCATCCAATGCCGGAATTTCCTCGCGGGGCAATACTCAGGTCCAGCCAGCCATGCCGAAAGACGAATGAACAGTGGATGAGTGATGAGCGATGTCTGCAAGCAAAGATTCGCTTGATTTCCATACGTAGCTGCTTCTTGGGGTCAAGAATCATTCCCTTCTCCTGAAGCAGATGGGCAGATGGGCGCATGGGCAGTTTGTGCTCAATGGGCGTCGCTGGCCTCCTGTGCCCGTCGAGCCCTCTCCGCAGCTTTGCGAGCAGCCTTCTTGGATTCCTGACAACAATGAAGGCGAAAAGGTGAAGTCTGCCGACGCCTACAGTGGCTCTCCGGGATCCAGGGCTGAGACTCGGTAAGCGGAGCTTCGCTTAACCCCATACGGTACCATGGGATACCTCAAGCTCCAGATCCCAGGGGCTGAAGTGTAACTCTGTGCGAAGCTGAGGCGTAGAACGGCGCGAAGGTGGACTGTATCGTCGGTGTCTCGCCCTGTCGCCTGGGGCCTCCGAAGCTTCTCACCTGCAACTACGCAAGCTGGCTCGGCTAGGCGCTGGCACAGAGAGCACTGTCCTGCACACCATGGGTCGCGCGTGACAAGCAGGTGCAAGAGGCCTCAAGACCTCGGCAGTCTACGGAGGGCCAGAGAGGACACAGCCGCAAGCCAGGCTTCCTCTCGCAATTCCGTTCGAATCTTCTTTGTGGAGTCGGACCAGACGACAGAACAATCTCGGCAATCGTTTGTTAAAGTTTCGACGCCCCTAAGAAGCCATTTTTGCAAAGGCATCCTCGACACCCCTTTCAACAGACAAAGGGATGGTGAACGTATGGCAAGCATTCAGTGCTTCAAGACATCAATCCTTGTCCATATTCCAACAACGGCGCGCAGGCTGAATGCCTGGGACCAGGGCCTGCAGCGAATCATCCAGAAAGCTTGGGTCCCAACCCGAAATCGAACGGGCCAGAACACCGACCTGCACATTGGCTTGCTGACAAGATGTGACTGCTAATACAGCAGTTGATACAACAGTTGACCCCCAGCGACACAGAAGCTTGTGCCTGGAGAGCCGACGGCAGCGGCACCAGGCCAGGACTCAGATGCCTGCTTGTCCTATCTTTCGATATCGCAGTCGTAGTCTCTTAAGTTTTGGGATTCGGGGATGTAACGGGGCCCGTCGTGGAGAAAAAACTTCCAAAGCATTCCCCTGCCTGCCGAGCCGCGACAGCCACGCCATGTGGAAGCATGTGCTGTGGCTTGCAAGTGCTTATGGAAGAAAAGGGCTTGGCTCGAATCGAGGGGAGGGCGCAACAGAATCACCACAGCCTTCGATATGAATCATTCACTCAACCCCTTCATTCAGGCTGATGGAAGCTTGCATTGAAGCCAAGATGCTGGCATTGCAGGCTGCACATGCATGCCGACGGAGCCTGCGAATCTGCCTGCTCGGATTGGTACAAACGTGGAGCTTCTCTTTTGCCAGGGGAGGCTCATCATGGCGACGTTGGCAGGCAGGGTCCACCTTCGCCTCTGGAACTAGGCCCCACTGGCAGAGCACCGGAGTCTGCGGCTGTGAAACTGCACTTCAGGGCCATGGTCTCTCCAGGTGCTCCGAACTTAAACTTCTGACACTCCACTGCAAGTTCTCAGGGTTCCTTGTGCCTTCAGAGCCAACGAGCTGTCAGCGCTTCAGCTTTTGAAAAGGAGCGTTGGGCTGAGTAGCGGGCAGCCCAGGTCCGTCTGGAGCATCGGCTCTCCCAGTGTGCATGGCATTGATCATCCTCCTTCGCTTGCTTTCAGCAACCTCAAAGGCCAATGATGTCATCCCTGGCCTTTGGTCACTTTCTGGGCCATCCAGCAGTTTTGCCGCCTTTGGACTTCACATCTACGCAGCTCACACCGACAGACGCCGAACGCCGATAAGGGTCCGCTTCGACACAGCTCACAGCTCGCTCACGAGTCGACCGGCTGAACCCACTGGCCAGGTGTAATTTCAGTTGCGTCCCTCCGGAGACAAGCCGTGCACCAACTTCCGGCCAAGTGATATTCAATTGATCACTTGAGCTTGCTGCACATGGACACAGCCACATCGCTCAAAGAATGGCGGCACTGAAAGTATTGCTACTTCGTCCGGCGCAACTGCTTTCCCCTAAATGCCTGGTGTCGATCGATTTGACCAACACATGCGAAGTCTCGGATCTCGCAGTAGATCTGCCAAGAATAGATTGTGCGCATGCAAAAACAGATGTCAGCAAATGATGGCGCTAGGACAACACCTACTGATCAAGAGAATTGAGCCTCTTGCCCGAATCAAGGAGAGCATGCACTACCGTGTACAATAGAGCCTAGGCTGAACCCTTCCGCAAAACAACACCGCCGGAATCGCCGGACACACCTATGCACACCCGTGCTACATTGAACTGAGATCCTGCTGTCTTCCGTCCACTTGGCTCGAAGCAAGAACACAGACACCTGCATTTCACAGACTGCCCGCTCAAGCCCACAAACATGTGTCATGTGTCACCCTATTGGGGTCAATCTATCACAACCACAACCCATACAACGTTTGGTGCCCGTGCTGGGACGTTTGCACACGCGTCTTCGCAAGGACAACATGCTTGCCTAGCGCAGGTTGGCTGCAAAAGCGAGAAGTACTTGCGTGTTGCATCAGAGTTTATTGGACGCCGTCTTAGGATGCTCAAGGCTCAAGGGGCCGGTCTGACCGTCGGAAGTTCGGCGAAACTCGAAATTTTTAGGCCGGGTTGACGGCAAGTGCAACTCGCCTTGGCGCAGTCCATGGCGGCCTGGTGCAGAAATTTTGAGTTTGCACGGTGTGACCGAAGTCCTGGCCTTGACAAACACGGCCACCTTGTCTAGCACCTCCACAGAGATCACATCCTACGTGACAACTGAAGTGTCTGCCAAGGTTGACTTCCAACATGCTTGCGGCGCTGCTCTGAATCCAGCTAAATCTTGCGGTCATGTCTTTTCAAGGCACCGGTGACAAGGCAGCGGTGAACCCGTCCAGATTCTGTCGCGACCACCGCCTGCGCTTCATCACCGAATCCTGCCACGGCCAATTCCCATTGCTCCTCCAGGGTCGGTTCTCCAACTGGCTGGCTGGCATAGCTGGCTGGTGAGCTGGCTGCTGAGCTGGCTTGCTGGCTGGCTGACTCCTGGCAACGACCTCGTCATCCACATCTCCGTTACATTCAAAGTAACATATCCACGATAATGCAGGATCTGCGAACGTTGGTTGGTGCATCAATCAAGACATGACGCTCTGGGTTTCATGTTGCTTACAAAAAATATCTCGCTGCCTCTTCCGAGTCGTGGGATGCCCGAAAGTCAACCTGTCATGCACTTCTGAAACGACAGGCACCAGGCAACTGGCACAGTAATCAACAGGAGTCCTGAGACTTCCCGCAGCAGCATGTGCTCAGGACAAGCCCTGTTGCAAGCCCTGCGGCGCCACCTCCTGTAAGAGGTACTGCACCTGCGTAATTTTCTCCTTCGAGCACTGCGAGAAGCACAAAAACTGTCAGCCGACAGACCCCCCTAGTTCTGTGCTATACTGACCTTCATGGAATACTGACTGGATAGAGCCCTGAAGACTGCAGATTCTGAGATTCTGTGGCTGTCTGCCCATCTCCCGATCCCGGTGTGTATCATTCCACATCACCAAGCTTTCTTCGCAAGGCTCGTGGCCGTTTCTAAGGTCTGCTGTACGTTCGCCGCTGTCACAAACAGTACACTGACGCAGAGTTCCGAGCACAGGCCTTCGGAATGGCCTGCGCTTGCAACGACATCAGGTCCTGGACAGACATGGGCTGGTGTACGCCCAAGCAAGGCAATACGCTGTCCCTTGACTACAACTCCAACACATGACGCAGACAGGCTTTTCTCCTGCAGGAAACGCTGAGGCTGTTCCAGTACACCTGCGCCATAACACATGGCCTTTAGAGCCCATCTTCGTCAATGCAACTGATTCATGAACGTGCTTTGCACTTCCAATACATCCCAATACTGCATCGGCCAAGACTGCCAAGTGGCCTGCAAAGGCAGCTAGGACTCCTTGCCCCTGCCAGAAGCCGCGGGAGGAGCTAATCGGCACGCATTTCACAGCATGGCAACTGCATTGAGGAGCAGGACCACTGCGTCCCTCAACTTCTTGATTAACATCGATGAGCTGCATCGAACCGTGATCTGCTGCCAAGTGCCATGGCAAAGAGAAGCAATCTAAGACGGAAAGCTTGAGCGTTATGCTCAGCTTTCTCCGAATATCTTGTCTTGAAGCTTTGCCTCGTCGCCCTCCCGACGCGAGGAATACCTTTGACTTGAGCACTGCAGACGCACACCGTCCATACTGGCAGCCTAGGGGTCGCACTCAAAGAGTGTACAGACGCAGCTTGCAATCAGCTCCGCCCACGCAGCAGACCTGCCAGTGTTAGTGCTGTCTGTGCTAGTTTTCTAAAAACAACATCTCCGTTGCTCAGACGCGAGTCCGTTCCACCGAGCAACGGCTAACTCCAAAGCTCTCGCAGACTCAGAGCAAAGAAGCGGCCGAGAGCTCGCAGGATGGCAGAGGCGAGGGAGGCGCTGGGAGGCGCTGGGAGGCGCTGGGAGACTCAGAGCAAACGTGGCAGCTCCTTTTCAGTCCAAGCTCAATTCATTCTGCTCAATTTCAACCGCTAGTGGGGAGATACCCAGACATCCAAAAGACGATCTGCATTGAAAGAATCTCTGCAGGCCAGCTGTGCGCATACACGACAACGGTAACGGCTGTCTGACCATGGCCACAGTGACCGCAGTGGGCCTTATTCCCGGCTCTGACCGAAGCAGCGTCTTTCCGAATTGCCTCGGGATGTCCGGCACAGGGTACTGCAGCCTAACACACCCAAGGACCAAATGCAAACAGATTCAGAACAGCTGTCCTGAAAAGATGCAGTTCGATGATGCGAATGGAGGGTCGTCGGTTCTGGGCATGGACGCATGGACCACGGCCCTCTGAGTGCATGCAGGTGCGAAGGAAGAATGCATCTTCTACACGAGCGTGCAATTGGAATAGAATCTCGGACTATTTGGGAGGCTCCACCGTTTGCATAAAATCATTAAGAGCCGATGCACTGCGATTTGCGCAGGTTCACAGCGAAGGTTTGTTCATAATCAATAAAGTTTCAGTAAAGGCGAATCCACAGAGTCTTTACTCCAAGTCCGCCACGCCAGCTCGTCGGTATGATCTTGCAAGAAGAGCAGTGCGTCCACCATCTGTCAAGCTTGAGCTCGGAAAACCGAAGGAAGCCAACTGCTGCAGCGTAGCCTCCGCTGTCGGCTGGGACAGTCTGTCACAGAGCAAGTTCCGCCTGTGCGCGCCGAGGAATCTTCGTTGGAGGGCCGGACTGAAGGATCTCTTAGCACCGCGAGAATCAAGGCACGGACTGGAGATGCGTGCGGTCTGTGTGACCACATGCGATCTGTCAGCGAGGTCACACTTCCGACCGTGGAGGGAAGTGCAGAAACCTTGCCTTGTGGGTGGTCAGCAAGGTGTTTCCCATAGCATGTCAGAAGGAACTCTGGCAGCTTCTGGTTTCCGTGCTCCTTCCTCTCCGTGTCCAACAGTCGAGGTTTAGTCTTTAGTGGGGGCATCCTGGCGGTCAAGCTGCGCATGATGCTGTAAATATCTGTGATGAACTTTCCAAGCTTGTTTCCTGGTACCAGTGAGGTGGCTAGCATGCTCTGCTGACATCTTGCAAAGCATGACTACCAAGCAACTTCAGCCTGAAGGAAGCATGATCCACATGGCGCCATGAATCCACAAGCTCGCCAGTCGATTCGCACTTCCTCTGGATTCTGACTCGAGATTCCTTGGCCCATGTCTTTCTTGACCTTGCACTGGACAGACTGGCATATGTAAGGAAGCCCAGCAGCAGATTCAGCAAAGCCGTCCCGCACTAGCCGCACATGTTCGTAGCTCTCGAACACTACTTCGACAACTTCCCGAGACATCCTGACGCTCTTGTGAAGGATCGTTCCGGCCATTGGGACTAGGTTCAAGACTTCCCCTGCCGAGCTTGAGTCAGGCCGCCAAACTCCCATACAACTGCCATACTACCAGAGTCCCAATGGCCTCTGCCAAAGCGTCATGTCACTGCATGAGCAGACCTTGTACGCCAGATTCCCGACTTTGATAAGGTCGTGTAAGCAGAGTACCAAAAGCAACCAGAATTCCAACATCCTCCCCCTCCTCCCCAGCACCAGCACTTTGACGTGGGCGAGTTTTGCATCATCCTGCAACCCTGACACCGAAAGCAGGTCGGCGCGATTTCGCTTTGGCAAGATATCGTCTTGCTGTCTGTGAAACATGACATAGCACTGGCAGCCCCCTGCTGCATTCTGCAGCCTCAAGCCTCCAAGGGCGTCACCTGGTCCAAGGACGAGTTGTTGGCATGGTCGTCAGCTTGAGGATGACAGAGTCGAAAGCTAAATGCACCCACGAGCATAAGAGTCTGAAGTTCATCAACCCCCAAACCAGTATGGGGTAGACATCTGCGTTCAGTGTGCAGCGAGTTGAGCCCCGGACGCTGGACCGCGCATGAATGAGAGATGCACCTCTCTCGTGCAAGAGCGTCCGTCCAGCCACAGTAATTTTTCCTGTAAGTACCTGCCAACTTGCAGAACTACTGTCCACAACTGTGCAGGGCACCGTAAACAGCCTTTCCTCCTTCGTCGTGCGGCCAATGCAAATCAAGAACAGATGGAAAATGCCGAGGCAAATGACACCTGAGTTTCCAAGGGTTGCCCAAAAGAACATTCGCCAAATCCATATGAAACACAGCATTCCGCTTTGAAAAGCTATCCTGCAGCTTGTGTGTGTAGTTTCGGTTCAGCCCGGTTAGCCGTCTCTCTTCGCGACTTCTATCGACTTCTGCGCCGAATCTTCCCTCGAGTCGGGATGCATGGATTTGGCATCCTCCCCACGCGATTGGACCCGCGATTGGACCCGCGATTCACCCATTCCCGGTCCCACAACATCCCTATCAGGGGTTGGAAAAAGTCCTTAACAGATTGCCATCTTTGCAAGCTCCGAGGGCAATACACGGGAACCGTGCAAGTGACCTCTTCTTGATGCAGTCGTCTGCCAGAGACGGACTTCCGGGAAATTGCTTCCCATAGACATGCCACAGCTCTGACCCTGAATTGAATGCGGCCATCAGAGCGTGTGTGGCAATGCTCTTGCACAAGACGCCTCTATCACAAATGGTGGAAGAAGTGTAGTTGAATCAGCACAATCCCGCGTTATGGCGCGCTAGTCTTCACAGCAAGGCATGCCGGTTGAGGCAGCTGCATGGGGTCTGAGACACTCCTGAAATTCAGTCGCCTGTGCCCAGAGCCCAACTGCCACAGCAAACCCAATCTGCGGACGGCACGGTTCCAGGCATCTGCGAGGAATGACAGGTCCGTCTTTTCCCTCATACTCCCCATGGCTGGGGTTCGCTAAAAAAGTCTTTGGTCTCCGAGTCACGCAGAGGCATGCTGGCAGTCTCTGATGTGCTGTTGCATCGCGTCTTTCTCAGTGGATGCACAAATTTCGAAGTGATGCTCTGAACTTCATCCGTAAGTTCCCGGCCGAGAAGCATCAAGGCGGTGGGAATGCCAATCAAGCCCAGCGCAAGCAAGAGCAGTGGATTCCTGCGCAAGTCAGCCACACAGTCCCCACAGATCCCAAGCTGCCAAAAAGGATCTGATACTTGTCGTTAATCACGATTTGCAAATCGTACCTCGTCCTTGTTCGGTAAGCCAAACCGCATCTAATCACGCCGTCTCGACTCAGTAACTTGCTTGTCCGTTCCTTCTGTGACTGAGTTTCTCTGGACGGCTCTGGATACAGAACGGACTCTAGGATCGACAGAAGATTCTCAGTGTGAGAATCTCAAATTCAGGGCTGTCGCGATGCTCCTCTATCCTTTGCGTGTCCAATTCATGCCCAGGACTTTCTACAGACGGTTCCAGGGGGTCCTGTCTAAGCAAATGCTCTCGAGGTCGCTTACTACCTATGCCGTCAGCTTGAGCACTGGTCCAACAGAGAATAGTGCGAGTGTGACGCGCGGTTGCCGCCCCAGCCCTGCGGACTAGCTGGTGGTTCGCAAAAGGTGTCGCTCAAGGCTTCTACGGAGGGTTTCGTGGAGTGGGAACTGCAGCGGGCATGTCGTCACAACCACTCTGGTTCGTGGATTCGAAGGTCCGTGCCACTCGCACAAATTTTCGTTGCCACCGATGTTGGCACCTCCTCCGTAGAGGCATACTCGCTCCAGATGTGTGCCGCCCCGCGTCTTGCATCGCGACCCTGAACCCTCGCAGCCGCCCCCCCCCCTACACGACCCATAAGCCATACGGTTTCATCCAGCAACGGTGCGATGAATGCCCGGCTGATGGCCGCTTCGCTTGTAGGCTTGACCCTGAGCATTGGTCCTCCAGAGATCGGGAAGCGATCCGATGCTGGAATAATTGATACCTTGTGACTTCAAGGGACAACGACAACCGTACCACACACACCTGCCAAAAACTGAGCATTCGACCCACACCAACGGCCACGGAGAAGCCCAAGCATCTGTCAAAGCTCACCAGTGACAAAGCGAGGCAGTGTCATGCATGCATGTGTCCCAACATGCAGGCTCACCCCGTGGAAAACAAGAAAGCGGAGAAAAAGACATAGTTCCTGCCACGGTGCAGAAAAAAATTAAGCAGGCTGAATCCGTGCCGCAGAGCCCGCCTTTGGCCGACGCAGTTGTTGACGAAAGGGCAATGATGGTCGAACCTTTGCCCGCAGATAATGCTGCCCAGTTATAGCAGTCTGCCGAACCCGAGCGACGGGCATCAACACACAGTTGTCGCAGTCTGCACAGTGGGAGGCCCGTGGAGGTCGAACGATCTGCCACAAGTTGCATTTGAAAGCAGACTCACTTCACGTCATGCACGTGATCTCCCAACTTGGCCTTGCATGTTGAACACCATCGGTAGCCTTGAGATTGCTGCCTCAGCTCGGCCCATGCTTCGCAAAAAGAACCTTGCAATGAAGCAGTTCACCAAATGCACTGCGAGCAGAAACACCTCCACTGAAGCAGAAATCAGTGCGAGGACATGGCAAGTCAGACAAAGGAGGACATTCCGGGTCCAAGCCACCGTCGGCCTTAACATCTTGCACAGCAGCAATGTGCGAGATTGAAGTACCAAACGCAGGCAAAACAACTGTAGGCAAGCACTGGCAACGGTGGAACTCCCACAGCTGAAACAATTTCTTCCTCTAGCCTCAGTCGACTAAACTTTCTGACTTGCAACTCTGCATGCCCGGTGGCTCGGCAAGACTAGGGCAATCTCTACTCTCCACTGCTCAGCCTCACAAGGCTCGTAAGTGCAGGACCCGGGCACTGCCAAACGCAGCTCCCGCCGGGGTAGAATGCCTGAACAACGCAAAGAGCTGGCTTTGTGCTTGGGGTGTCAATTTGCACTATCACTGTGAAAGGGAACCAGAAGATGTGCTGTTTCAAGGGTCAGTGCTGCTCACTGTTCAGTACGAAGCAGACTAGGATCGACCACCCCTCATGTTTATTTGGCTGGCTTGCTGCTTCTATTGCTGCTGCTGCTGCTGCCGCCGCTGGTGCTGCTGGCTTTGCGAAAAGCACACAGATTGAGATTGATTGCGGCCTGGATCTGTACAGGACGTCAGGAGTAAGAACACGAGAGTCGCGACAAGTGCCTGGCACCACTCCTAGAGGGTCAAGAAACCCCATCATGCACCGTCGCAGCAACCGAAACACAGCTGAGGCACAATGCCCGTAACAATGGGCAGCAACGGGTTGACTTTCCACAGATGTCGCGAGCCTAATTTTGCACCAGCGGATGCAGATCGAAGTCGCCGAAACACTGAAACAGCCGCACTAAGCCGGAGACAGAAACAAAAGTACAATGCAGAAGGTATCAGGATGAGCGACCTCGGCTGCAAAATTGAGGGATCCAACCGCTCTCGGCTGCGTAGCCACATGGAAATGTGGAAATGTCTCTGTGCCCCACCACCGCTACACGTACTGTACCAAGGGCTGTACCAAGTGCACAAATTGTACCAGAAGTCGATGTCTGGGCCGGTTACACAGCGGCCGCAACAGCAAAACCTGCAGGCCACCCGCACTTCACACGCTCTGCTTCTGCTACAACCTCAACGATCTGACGGGCGAAAGACGCGGGATCACTCAAAGCGAAGATGCTCTTAAAGCCGGCAGCCTGTTGCGCCCTCCGACGTGATCCCAAACTTCATATACTCTAGGTAGCCGCCTGGGCTCTCCATGCCTACCACGAGGACTTCTCAAAGAAACACACTTTTGTGTGCGGCAGCGTCTGACTAGCTAGCGCATGGCGACTGTGTCTCAGGTGCCGTCCCTTCGATATTGAGCCTCGACTTCTGCTTTCTCAGATACTGCTCCCAAGCAAGCAACACTTGGCATCCCACGGCGTGACCATTGCACCTGTGCGGACGCAACGTGCCAAGCTCCGCACAAGTGTCGGGTTGTGCTGGGCACGGCACGCCCGGCTGACGTCTCAAACGATGTCCCCAAAGCCTCACTTACAACAGAATTCCGCAAACGCCACTTCAAAGCCCACAACAGGACTCATGTAGGAACCGGGAATGTCACGGCCCAGTTCGTAGACAGTGAGCTAACACTGCTGTCAGCCGGGTATTCTGCCGGAACCTGAAAAGTCAAGCTCATCAGAACAGCGCAAGTTAACTGCGTGCTGCAGCCTTTGCGACTGCAACCGAGCCTCAGAGTCCGTCGCACGGGTTGCCATGACGCCGGCCCAGGACGACCTGGAAAAGTTGCGCGAATCGGAACAGCCGCTGGCTGGCCCACAGCGAGTTCAACCCAGAGGTCTGGGCGGACGAGGACGAGTTTCACCGGACTGCCGAGAGTCTTCCATCTCCATCGAATTCAACCTCCGGGCTTGTGCCGCATTGGTACCCATACCCATAGATCCAATAGCTCGGACCATCACAACCGATGCCACTCAGCTTCACAAACACACATCTTACACCTTTCCATGAAAGAAAACTTGTCCAGTTGTACCTCTTTCTTTCGTCTCTGTCTTTCGCTCTCAAAGCCAATAGAGGCGGCATGCCCATGTTTCTACAGTCGGCGAGGGTTTGCAGCCGCTTGTTCCCTGCTTTGCCAGCGAGGTGCACTAATTCAAAATCTCAATCGTACTAGTAGACCCTATGACTGTCTGCTACATGAACTCAACGGTCTTAACTCTTAACCGTTGCTCATTCCCTCAGGCAGTGCAGCGGAGCTACGGGCCCCATATTGTGTCGTTTTTGTGCATTGCTCCTCTGTATGGTCTACCTGCCCAAATCTGGCCGATCCACCCATAGCCCTGCTGGCGCAGGATTTTCAAGCGGAGCAGTGTTGGTGGCGAAAAACTGTTTGTTCTGTGCCTCGAGGCACTGTGAATAAATAGGGGTTGGGCTTTTCTGTCCCATTCATCTGCTTGCAACCCGCTGCGGACGGGCGTCTTTGAGCTTGCCGCTCGTGCCTCGGTCCGAGTGGTGGATCGGTCAATCCGAACTTCAAGCCGGACCATTGCACGGTCATGGAGTCTGCCTAACGAGATGCGCTGGCTGCAACCGATGTTCCGTGATGTCAGAGCCAAGAAAGCTTGGTGTGGGGATTTGAAGGGTTCGCGAAAACAGCTTACGGATCACATACTGTGGCAGAAATGTACAATAGAACTGCGAACTCAGTATGTTTCTCCGAAAATGTTGGACACCTGCACGAATTTACGGCACATCCCGTTTGGGTCCCCTTAACAACCTTCCACAAGGCCCATACGGCTCTCCCTCTCTCTCTATTTCCGTCTTTCTTTTCTTTCTCGACCCTCAGGCCACAGGCCCGCCCGACCACCCATTGCGTTAGTGAGTGGCCGTCTTTGGCGTGTCTCATGAAAGCGGCATCTACTGGCTACGGGGGATGTGTGAGATTTCCTGGCCACTACAACCACCCCCCCCCCCCATATGGTATGGGGCTCTGAGGGGATTGTTAATTTCCCTCCCTTTCTTCTTCTCCAGGGCATGAGGGGTCTGTCAAACCCACCGGCCAGTTGGCCCCCCAAGCTTCATGGGGTTTTCAGAGGGTGTGAGAAGCTTTGTTGCAGTGTCGGGATTCTAACAATTTCCCCCGATGCACTGAAACCAGCATTGTTGGGACACGATGACGTCTGCTTTGAGGTTTTTGTATGATGCTAAATGTACTTAAAGGTTCGTCCTCCGAACACACGTCCAACCGAATTCGTTGTAGGTTTTCACATTTCCCCACGAGCAAGCGAGCTATATGCGACAGTAAGTGAAAATCCCAGATCAACGCCGATCTTTCTGTCTCTCTCTCTTTTCTTTTCTTTCGCCAAGGCTGTGGGCTAAGGGAAGCTCCCTTAGCCTTGCTTGCTTGCTTGCTTGCGCGACGTTTGGAGCGGGGTCCTAGAACCCTCGCCCCTGCGCTCTCGCGCTACGCCGATGTCCGTTGTCTGTCAGTTTGGTGACATGGGTTTCAGCACCTTGCTCCTGGTGCCCAGGGGTGCCCGTCCCAGCTAGATCCCCTGTAGTGCTGTTACAAGTTCAGCCCGCCTAGGCGGGCTCGTTTGCGCTGAATCCCACTCTGTACTTTGTACCATGCTATGGTACGGCTCCCCTCACATTGCAGGGGACGCGTTGGCTGCTCCCGGGATTTGCACAAGCAGCTAGAACTACTCTTGCCGCCAAACATGGAGCACTGCCCTAGTCGCTGTTGTTAGGCACTACCTCTGCTGAGCTACGGTTTGTGGAGCGTGTTGCTTGTTCTCGGCAGAAAGCAGAAGTAGGGGGACAAGGCAACACCAAGTAGGGGGAAAATTCAACACGCATTGGGGAGGTCCCCGTGCCGGTGGTGTTGGTGGTGCTGTGGTTAGGAGCTGGAGCCTTTGGGTCAGGGAACAGAGGGGATAAGGTTACCACCGCAACGGTAGGGGAACAACACACGGAGGCCCCTGCTCCTTCTGTTGGTGGTGGCTTTGGTGGTATGTTGCCTCCCCTACATGATGCATGCTGCCACGGTGTTTTTCTCAGTCCTCAGTTGCTTCTCTCTCTCTCTCTCTCTCTTTCTTTCTTTCGACAGGGTTGTTGGCTGGGGATTTTTTCCCCGCGCGCAAGTGCGCCCCCGACCGTTGTGGAGGGGCTGGAGAGAAGGAAAAAGGCTCCACACGGCCACTGACAGTAAGGGGGCATCGGTATGAACGGACCAGACCAACACTCAACCAAAGCAAAACAAACACGGGACGTCCCCCGACATGATGGGCCAGAGCTCTGAAAGAAGGGGCTTGGGAGTTGTGGCTCAATGTTCAAGGCACAACTGGTAATAGCTCGCAATCCGTTCGCACTGCAGACGGGAACTCCAAAGTAAACCCAGCCGAAAAGACATCCCCGCAGAACCACCCGAAAACAATCAACCTGAACGGAAAGCGTCGTTGCCCCGAAATGAAAAGGAGGGGGGGATCCCCTGTAAAGTAAAAGGACAAAGTGCGCTGGCTGAATTAGGAAACTAGGGACTGTGCGTACTGAACGTGGCTACCTGAGGCACGGCAAAGGTATGATTGGATACGGCTCCGGCGGCCCGTCTTATTGTACACCCCGAGAGGGATTTGGGGTAAACCCCCATGAAGAGCGGAAAACAATGGACTAGACGAAAGGTTGTTTTACAACAGTTATGAAAGAAAACATGCAGGCCAGCACACATCGGCTTTTTGCCGTGGAAGTTGTCGGCGAAGCTGCTTTGGGGGTTTCCCCTGGAAAAGCTCACTGCTCACTGAGTGGAGGTAGTGCTCGATGCCATGCGTTCTCAGAGAGTTCCCCCGTCACCGTGTTCTTGCCCTTGTGAAGCGGATCTGGTCCTTTGTCCACTCCCCTTGTTGTCTTTTCTTTTTCCTGTGTTCGCGATATCCTGCTTTTATGGCACGTCGATTAGCCTTCCATTTGTCCACTAATTGAATGGGATATTGCCATCGGCATCTCGCTGTTCCAGAAGTTGTCGTAGGCGAGCGCGTTGCCCCGGATTGAGTAAGGGCGGTGGTCCCGCCGGTTCTGGTGGTGGTCGTTGGTGATCGGCGCCTTCGGCATGATCATCAGCATCATCATCGACGGAGTTTTGCTGCAGGTGCAGGGTGTGCCCAGTTATTCTGGTACTCATCCGTTCCGTTGTCGTCTTCCCAGTCAACCTGTGTGGGGATTCCCCCAGTCTCCAGCATAGGTTCTTCTCCATCGTTGTCGGCGCTCCAGTCGGTTTGCATAGGGTTCTCAATGGGGTCGAGGTCGTTGAAGATGTCTTCAGTGGGGTGAAGCCCCCTGCCTTGATCCCTTTCGGAAGGTAACGTGTCATGGGCCGACTGGTTCGCGAGGAAGAAGTCTGCAGGTGGGGCCAGAAGGTCCCATGCGTTGAGGTACTCATGCTCGGTCTGCTCGTTCTCGTTGTTCAGGTGCTCGGTGTTCTCAGGTTTCGGGTCACAAGCGACGGTCTCGTCTCCTTTGTTTGCGGGGCTATCTTCAGCAGGAGAAACCTTAGCTGGTGCACGAGGGATTGCAGGAGCTGCATTGGCCTGGATCGGGGTGAGTCCCCGAATTACTCCTCGTCGCAAAAAGGGGCGGTCTTGTTGGCTGCGGAGAGACGGGGGCCAGGATCGGTGCGGAGGTCGCCGAGTCGTTAGCCGGGATTCGGTCCCGCGGCGAAGTGGCCCTGGAAGGAGAGGGACCACGGGAGGACATAGCCGTAGACTTCCCCATTATATCGCGAAAGGACTCCGTCAAAGGGTCGTCGGGGTCCATGCCTTCGCAAACATCCTTTGTCGGTTCCAGCTTTAGCTGCTTGGTCCTCGACTTCTCCTTCTTCTTTTCCTTCTTTTCCTTCTTTTGCTGCTTTTCCTGTGTAGGGGATTTGCCCTGTCCATTGCAGCTCTGGTAGCAATATCGTCCTGGGCGAGGGCGGCCTCGTGCAGACGAAGGATGCATTCATATTCTCCCCGGGTGGGATTAGAGATCCCAAACATGATGCAGTTGTCAGCAGTCGTCAGGTGTCCCGTGTGGCCGCGCCCGCCTGCAAGGCACTTTTGATGGACTTCTGGGGGTTTCCCCCGTGCCATCTGAGCCTCCTCCCCCGAACTTCTCATTCTCGGCGCCGTCGAAAAAGTAGCGCGAACATTCCCTCGTTGGGCTTGATCTCTCGGCATGGCGGCAAAGGGCGTTCCTAAACGTCAGGGCCACTTGATTGACAAGCACCGCAACTCTGCGCCTCCCTTCACCTGAGCGAGGAGGGGGTGACAGCCCCCCCAATCAAAGGTTGCAGTACTTGAGCCAAAATGGCTACTCTCTCTTGCTTGCTTGCTTGCTTGCTTGCTTGCTTGCTTGCAACTCTCTCTCTCTCTCTCTCTCTCGTTCTCGCTCCTCGTTTCTGACAAATCTCTGGAAAATGCCAGCTCCTGGTCAACCGTTCGCCTTCAGAACAGCCGCGAAAGCCTTCAGCACGTCATTGCCAAGCTGGCTCCATGCACAGACCCTCCTGACTCCTGATTCCTGTGCTGGTGCTTGTCCGAGTATACGTCAGGTCTCGAAGATGACCTCCGGATCCTACCAGAAATTACCTGTGCTGCAAGAATAAACCTAGTGCCAATGTGTAGCACACAAGCATTAAAGCTGTCACGACAGGGTTGGTTCGGTGTCGATCACGCAGTGACCATGTCAGAATCTTGAGCAACAGCGCGCAGCTTCCAGCTATGCGCATGAGCAGGCACTAGCCGAAGGAGGAGTGTTCACAAGCCAGCCCCCTTTCTCTCGCAGGATGGGCTAAGCCGGCTCCAGCTTCTGGGAGCCCTGGCGCCTGTCAGAAAGCTGGAATATCGGCTGTTGCGACAGCTTCTGTCTCCGCCTCGGGGGCTTTGCTGATGCTGGTTGGTCTCGTTCTTCCAACGAGATGTTCTGGGGCACCTTGAAAGCAAGGATCGGTGGTCCGGAGTTCTCGCTGCCGACTTTCTGAGGAAAGGACTCCGAGGACTTCGAAAGCCCGCGCAGCTCGCCAGAGCTTGCCTGACGCGTTGTCACGACAATGCCCTTGAACCCAGGACATCCTCGTCACAGCCTGGTGGCAGGTCATACCGCTTCATGTCCAGGTGATGGCTCACCTGGCATCAGAGGACATCAAGCTGCTTTCCAGTGCGCCTCCGGCCGCCTTGTTGATGAGCGCCTTCGAGGGAGTCACACCAGTCCTCTGCAGGAGCTGTCTCCACGCGTAAAGCCACGAGGCTCAACATTATTCTCGTCTTGCAGCTCTCTGGCCTGCTTGCTGCTGCCAGGGCTTCAGCCAAACGAACCAGAAGACTTGCTGGCAACTCTGCAGCCCTGCAGCAGGCGTTGTAGATGCCCGTGTTGCAAAGGGCACGATGCAACACATTCTTCAGAAGGGCAACCGCAGCGTCAGCAGCAGAAGCAGCAGCAGCAGCAGCAGCAGCAGGAGCAGCAGCAGCAGCAGCAGCAGCAGCAGCATGAAACACAATGCTGGCGCAGTGCTGCAAAATGACAATCAAGTGCGCGGCACGATTCACTCATGCAGGCACCCCTACTGGGCCTTGCGACCAACACCTCATCGCAGGCAGCAAACACCCCCTTTCTCGAAGAGGATGTGCACCGAGAGAGGCTCCAAAGGATCTGGGCCTCAGGAGCGGGGTGCATATGCAGTGTGCGAATGCTCCAGCTAGACTGCCACTTCCTCGGAGCATAGCAGCAGACTCTGCAGTGGGCTTTTCCTGGAGTGCCTTTTGTACCTGGCGCGAGGAACTTGCCCCTCATCCTCCCCAAGCGCGCCAAATCCTTGTGCATGCTTGCAAGGAAACCGTGACACAGTTCCTGCCTCTGGGAGCAATGCCTCCAAGCGCTCGGAGGCATCCAAAAGCAGCGAGGAAGGCTGCATGGCTATACCCTGTCGGGGTTTCTGCTGCGACGTGTGCGAGCTTTGCAACTAAAAGTACCGAGGCGCCTGACACAACATGGCCAACGTTCGTGCCGAGCCTCCTTGATCCTGCAGTCTGCACATTCCATGACTTGCAGACCTCCATCAATGCCGAGCCTTGGCTGCGCGAAGAGCATGGTCCAGCACGTTGTGGAGTACCTTGGTGGTCCAATGCATGGCATGGTCCAAATGCGGACAAAGCCACCCTTCCAGGCCTGTGGAGTCTGAGGTTGCAGGTAGCCCAAGCTCCTCAGCTTACGTCGCAGCGCCAAGGGCCAAGGCCCGTGCAAGTGCCATGCAAACACCACCGGTCCTCACAACAAGGGCAAGCTCGTCAAGAGACAGCTCGTCAGCTCGCCCATGGACTTCCTGTGATTCACTTTCACGCAGAGAAACAAAGAAACCCAACAGGCTTGCAGTTGCCTCCAGCACCGAGCTGGCCAGAGTTTCTACGCCCCAGGTGCTGGGGGCAGCGCGGCCTGGCCGTAGAGAAGCGAAGGCTTCGAAGGCATGGCAGCATGGCATGCAGACTGCTGCGTTGGGTCGCTGACTGAGGGCATCCAACACCATGGCCAAGGCCTGGGCTGAAACCAAAGCCAGGCGAATCTTTCTGCCCCACGCCCAGCCCGGCGCCCGGCGCGCCTGCGCGTCGAAGCTGGGCAGGCCCAGCTCCAGGATGCGAGCGCCAACGGCTCCTCGGAGCACCACCTGTCAGCAAAACCACTCGACTGACGCCCACTTCGACCCTTCCCTGCCTGCTCGGCCAAGGAACCGGGACCTCGCAAGAACGCACCTGCCACGCTCTGCAGGAAGGCTCACACAGGCTTCGCGGCTTCCGATTGCCTGCTGCATAGGCGCAGTCCATTGCTGACAGCTTTGAAGCTTCTTCCCCGAGTAGCCGACCAGCATTCTGCAAACGGAACCGGAACAGTCTGCTACAGCCCCTCTTGGACGTGGATCATGCCTCATAAAGCTTGATGCCGCGGTGCCCGCTCTTGGAGGCCGCGTATGCAGCTTGCGAGGCCGCAGACCCAGACATTCGGTGCCTCATGCGATGAGGTGGTGATCTTGTCTCATAAATCCCATGCTACCATTGGACCCCTTAACAGTGTATTCAAGGCACATTTCCATCTCGAGGTTAGTGGTCAGCTCCTGCTTCAGCAAACAATGCAAACTGGAACAATGCTCGTCGAACAGAACCCCGCCAGCCAAAGCTCTTCATGATGGATTTTGCCACTAGACAGAGCCATTGCCAGCAGCGCCAAGTCCTGGCACAACATACGCGGCCACGCGGCTGTCAGCCCGTGCCCAAACAAGAGTCAGCTTTGCCAAACTCCTCGGGATTCTCCCGCCCAGCATTTCGCAGCTTCCCTTTGAGTTCACGTGCAAGCGACCAGCCTAACCGGCAACACACATCAAAGATGGCAGGTGTAACAAGGTACACTCTTTTGATTGCCGGCGAGACTGAGGGCCTTCAACAATGCCGACACTTCTGCTCGTCAGGTACAGACACGCTTCGTGTCCACAACCGCTCAAACCCCCAATATGCACCGTTGCGCGTAGATACCTCAGGCTAGACACTGTAGGGGCACCTCAGGACTGCATATTCGCCCTCATCTTGATCGTGTGGCATCAGGCATAACTCACCCCTCTCCCTTCAGCGTGCGATCAGGCTCAGGAGTGGCTTGGAATTCAGGCTGTGATTTCTGTAATTGAACACGACATCGACATCGCACAAGTGCCCGCAGAGGTGTCGTACCACAAAGCTTTGCAAGCTCCGTGGGGTCAGCTTCAGTACATCAGACTGCGAAGCCCTTACAATCGCCATCTGCAGTCTGGTTGACGGGGCTTGGAATTCGAAAATGGAGATTGCAACCTTGTGCTCTTCTGAAAGGGAGCTTAGGAACCAGATGAGTGAGTGCAGGGCAGGAGGGCCAAGTGCCACAGAACAGAAACCGTCTAGATGCAAAGACTTTGCTCAGGCCGCTGCACAAGTCTGCAGCTGCGTTGCCTTGATGACGCTCACTGTTGACGAGCCTCACACCGCAGAAGGCTGAAGTTCACAGAACTGCAAGGTCTGCATGTTTGTCAGATGCGGACTCCCAACGAACCAGCGAATGCAGTACACCGATCGCCTGCACATGTTGAAAGCGCAGTGGATAGTAACATGGAGCGTCTTCAAACGAGGGCACCTGCGAAGGGCTCAACTCTGACAGTTCCCGCAGAAGCAGCGCCTGCAGAGTCGGATATGCAACACACTTGCAGTTGCGTGCCCTGCGCCCTCTCTGGAATTTTTGCTCCCACTTGGCAAGTCCCCGGTTGCCGTGAGCCCGAATTCATCCGGCGAAGCCCTTCCTTGCTTTGAGTCGAGGCCGCCGGGGCTGAAGGACTAAGAAGGGGTCCCGGTCGTCCAGGCCGCAGGGCAGAGGAAACGAAGTCATGAAACCATGGCCACCTGCAGCCAATCGAGGCCACTAGTCCTTGAATGCTCTCCGCGACCACGTTCTCGGAGCTCTTCCGCGACTGATCGTAGACCTTCCATGGCTCACGAGATTGCATTGGAACCATCATCTCACCCACAGTTGCCCTACGCTGAAGTCTGTCGAGTTCCGTGCCTTCCCAGAAATTCAAGCATATCCTCAGGCAGGCCCATCACCCCTGCTCTGCAATTGCCATGTAGGCACGCTGCTTGGGCCCCAGCTAGGTTCAGATTATTCCGGAAGCAACATCACAGCACCTCTGGGAAGAGGATCTGGTGCTTGCATGCCCTTGCCGACGTGGATTTTTTGCCTACAGGAAACCGGAATGAAGCTGCGTCAGACTAGTAAAGCGGGAAGAGGCCCGGACCATTTCAGCATCTCGGCCCGCTTCTTTTCCGGGACCGGTCCGTCCACACGGCCGTGCGTCCTCCAAACCTTCCGAAAGCAGGAGGGTTGCAAAGTGGCGGTCTACATGCTGAACTCAGAAGCACATGCGACCAATAGTCCGACTGCACGAAGCGCGCACCTTGAGATGTTGCTGACAAAAGTCGCCTCCAAAGCAACACATGCTAGCAAAGGCTTCTCACCTGTGGCTTCCGTGGTAGAAACTGGTCTAAAGCTAATTCTGTCTTGCAAGCTTTGAAGAAATGCGCATCGTCTATAGGCATGTCTCGGTCGCTGGCCACCGTCAGCGTGCTTAGGGTTGGTGCCTGACACGTCTCCGACGCACTCCACATGAGAAGCTTCGTTGGAATTTGGAGAATGCTAAGACATTGGCAGTCGCCGCCCCAGCCTCACTCCGAGAAGTGCAGAACTGAGCAAAATGCATGCTCATGACCAAAGGTCCGGACCCTTGTTCCAGGTACGGGCCTCGCACATGCCGAAATGGGGCATTCAGGTGCGTGAAAGAGACACCAAGCAGCGCGGCCATGCATGGGCCCAATTCTTCCTTCTCTCGGCGCCGCTCCTCGCGGAATAAAGCCTGCAAGTTCCAGGTTCCGAGACGAAGCCGTGCTTTGCGAATCCTTCAGCAGACTGCCTTCTGCTCGGTCTCAAACTCATCCCGGCATCGCTTTCGCTCTTCGTTCTTTGCACTGAGAGCATCCTCAAAGACTCGATGCTGTTCTGCGGAATGCCAATCGTTCCCGCTTGTCCCGTCTCCTGAAGTCTCATGCTCGACCACTTGAAAGTGAAGCCGGCGCTGCACATGGCACGCCGAACACCTTCGGAAGCCTCGCATGGACCCACCGCCAGTGTCGCGTCTGACCATGGCAAGAAGCTTAGCCCGCCGCTTGCTGGAAACGATCACATGTGTAAAAGACCAAGCTGTACCGGGTTCCCTCAAATGGCCTCAGACGAACCAAGACACGCGCATGATTCGGACTCCTATGTACACCAATCAGCCGCGCCTTGCGAAATGTAAGCGGTTTCCATCGAAGCTTTGCCACCGACAATTGATGTCGAATGTGCGGCCCCTGGCAGCTGCACATCTGATGAATCTGACGGACACGGTACCGGGGCTGCATGGGGACAGAGCGAGAGAGAGAAGCAGAAAGAGAGAGAGACAGAAGAGAGAGAGAGAGAGAGAGAGAGAGAGAAACAGAAAGAGAAACAGAGAGGGAAACAGAGAGAGAAACAGAGAGAGAAACAGAGAGAGAGAGAGAGGGAAACAGGGAGACAGAGAGGGAGCCGGAGAGAGAGGAAGTTCGCAAAATGTTGTCCATGTGAGATGTGGCTCTGAGATTGGCTCAAGTGCAGCTTGGCTCTGCCCTCGCCCAACAAAATGGTAGCAGCGGATGACGCAGCAGGCCTGTAGGTCACCCCTGCTCGGTAGTGAAGCATGCTCCCTCGGAGGACAGCAAGTCCAACATGGCTCGTGAATCGCGTGCTCGTGACCTGAAACGTGCTTAGCCACTGGCGAATGCTCTCAGTGAGATCAACTGGGACGTCGCCCTCATCATCGTGAGCCCAAAGCTCCCCACCCTGTTGGCATGACGAAGATGCCTCCGCAAAGATCTACAAGGACTGGCCTTGTAGTTGCCCAACCCAATTATGAAGCTGTTGCCGAGATTGTTCTTATCCTCCAGAACACGGTGTATCTGCTACCATCAAGGCCCCGCATCGGACCACGGGCACAAGACACACAGCACGGAAAAAGCCATCATCCAAGGCTGGGGAAGGGACGACATGCGGCCTGGCGGCGTAGTTCTTGTTCACCTCTCAAGATTCTGCTGTTGAGCGCTGGTGCTGTCACGTTGTGCAACTGCTGCACCTGAATGGATGTGAACTCGAAGTCAGGGTGAGCAGCTCGACAGAAGGCTGACAGGAGACGCACCTGTGGACCAGAGCTGGGTCGGCTAAAGATACACATGCCTCAAGAGTCTCAAGAGCACCAATACTCCATCCATCAAGCCCCGATCAGATTGGCGACGCTGCAGCAGGATTCATGGCCGCGGTAACGATCTTTCCCGGGTCACTCCCCACCCCAGTCATGCCCCCGGGTTCAAGCTCAAAGGGCAGCGGGCCACCCGACAGTCCCAAGAAAACAAGGCAAAACCCACTGCAAGTAGATAACAAGCGGACCGCACATCCACTCGCCAGTTCATGGTCGGCCGCATCAAAAGCTGAGAATGCGGGGGAGCATGCGAAGCTTTGTCCCGGAAAGTTGGGGCATGACTTTGATCCCAACGATCCAGCATCTTTAAGACTCATGCTGGGTGCCACGCCAAGTTGGGGTTCTTCTTGGATGCATCGCCTCGACATCATTGCTTCTACAGCTCCACTACCAGAGGAAGGTCTCGCCATGTTCTGAGGTAGACACTGTAGCCGATGTTATAAGCGAATGCATACAGTCCAAGAACCTTTTGAAACCATTGGTGAGCAAGCTGCCACCACGTGGGTCGAGCACGGTTTCAAGACACGGGCCATGCCATGCACCGCTTCCACTCCATCCGGTAGAACGTTCTTGCGAGTCTTGTTCATTGGAAAATGGACAGCCTCAGCTAGACACTTCGTTTGTGTCAGAAAGTCTGGGAACTCCTAGGAGTGACCTGGTGTCACACTTGACTCCTAGAGGTCAACGTCCCGACCTCCAGAACTCGCACCATGGTCTCGAAGGAGTAGTCTTTTCTTCTCAAGGCATCTCTTGCCAGGGCCTCTGACACTCCGCGTTGCTTCTCTGAGAAAAATGAAAGCGCTCTTCTCGCCGGCGGCCTCCGACTTCTGCCGCTGTTTGCGAGCCTCAGAGCACTCGACTCTGAAGGCCCTCGAGTCCTCGAAGAGCCCTCGCCTTGGCTCGCGGAAGCCGTACCTTGAGACGACCTAAGAAGCGAAGCGAGATGACCTGGTGACATCTAATGACCTAGTGCAGTGCGCTGATCACGGCGGCTAGGGTAGGGGCCATGGCCGAGCAGCCGGCTCCTTGAGGCCCCAGGACGTTCAGATGCGGACAATCTCGGCAACCACTTGGCTTCTGCAGAATCCTTGACATGGTGCACTCAGCGATTCCGACATCCTATCACCTGTCGGCTACGGCAATGGCCTGCAGAGTTCGAGCGTCTTCTGCCGGCGGGGTGTCGGCCGGCAAGCTTGGAAGGCTCACCTCTGGGTCAGGCGACTTGGAAGGTCTGAGTGATGACGAACTCGCGCTGGTGCTCCACAATCTTGTGAGCCTCGGCGCGCGATGCTCACGAGGTGCACAAGGTTCGCAGCAGTCTGGGAAAGGCACAAGCTCAGCAGCGACCTGCGTGGCTTCTCCTCAGTCGACCCTGTATACTTCGATTCACGTATCGCGCTGGAAAGGACGCACATTCACCCCGGGCCTTGGGATGCGGCGGCGGCGCATGCATGCCAGTAGCTGCAGGCTGCAGGTGGTGAATGCTGTTGCATGCTTGAAGATGCTTCCAAGTTGAACGTCAGCGAGACCTCTTAGCGAGCCGTATGCCGAGTATTTCGAAGCTGCGGTAACAAAGTCAGCCTGAGCCCTGCTGCGGGTGTCAAGCTCCAAGATTTCCGGAGACTGAATGCTGTGTTCTGTAAGCAGAGTCCCATGCAAACGAGCACGAGTGGAAACGGCGCTGAAATTCGGGTCGACCCCGGCAGAAGCCGGCAGGTTCCCAAAGGACAACCTGTTTCGGCTACTCTTGATCCCCTCCCCAATGACTCAACCCGAGCCCTCGTTCCATTTTTCTCTTAACTGGACCCACCCCTGGCGGACGACGCGAAGCTTTTACAAGTAGGTTGATTTGAAAAACTCGGCATGTCTTACCTTCTCGGAAGAAAGTGTGCAAGCCCGCCGTCCCTGTAATTACTTTGAGTGGTTTCGTGTTGCTGCCCGAGGACAGAAGGTACGAGCACGTTCCGGGTTCATCGAGCGATTCATGCGAATCATACTTGAGACGACAGGACCACATCGCCGCAAGACACCATAGCGAGGTAGAGCCAAGCCTCGGCCAACAGGAGCAGGCCGGCTTGCACCTCGAGCACTGTCCAACGGCCAGTAGGAGATCAGTAGGCTGATATGCTGCTAATGAACGCTAGCCGCATCCCTGCATCCGCGGCCGCAGGGCCTCGGCCGAGATGTCTGCTGGTTGTGGATGCAGATTGCGCAAGGCAACACCTGAACGAGGCCAAGCCTTCAACTGCAGTCCTGAACAAAAGACACCTTTGTTGAGAGGCTGATTTGAGTGGGAGAGCGATGTAAGCAATTCACTTAGTCGCACTTTGTCGCAGGAAATTTTCCTGCAAGCATCGCCACTGCACAGCACTGCAAGTCACTGGCACCAGGTTGCGCACATGTTCTTGCCAAATCCTCAACAGCTGCATCATCACGATGCCTTTGAGCAGCATTGCCACGCATCGATGAGGGCCATTTCATAGAAGAGATGCCAAGAAAGCTGCTCTCTCCCCCCAGCTGCAGGTGCAAGGACTGAGAGGCTGGCTGCAGCAGCAACGCCATGTGCGTTAAACTCCTCTGCAAATACTCGCCTTGCCTCAGAAACTGATAATACAGCGCTTGCATACCAGCGTTGCAGCTCTCTGCGGGCTCTGCAAAAAAACGTCAATGCCAGATGGGTAAAGAAGCCCGGCCCCGCCTGAAACGCGGGTTCTCAAACGCTTCCAGGAGCACAGCCACATCCGGCAGCTGAAACTGTGGCAACCTGCCAGAAAAGTTCTGCCTAAATGCACTTCAACCATGAAAATTCGCTGTTGTGGTGCTATTGGTGCTGAATTAAGCTGTACTCAACAGAAGCACGGCTGCATGTTACCAATGTTTTGACGGCTCACACGCACGTAGGAGCCATGCTGATCCTGCCGGCATGGCCTTCGGTGAAGTCTTCCAAGATAGGTCGTCAACAGATTCTGGTCGAACCAATCTGCACCTTTGACGGCCAAGCTTCGGTCGGGTCCAGTCTCTTCATGGTGTCAGCTGCAGCAAATCTTCTGAGGCAGGCGCGAGCAAAAGCTCGGAAGATGTAGCAAAGGTCGGGCTGCAGAGCGGGCCAGTTGCAAATCAAGAACACCGACCGCTGCGTACATGAGCAAGAATATGTTCTTCATTCATGTACTGTTTCGCAACACTCTATGATATTGCAGCCTGCATGCCTCATTGAAGGATGATTGTGTTCATGACACCCATGTCAAGCATCAGGATCACATTGTCTTGGTTCAGTTCGACTTTTTTCATTTGACTGCGACGGTCATGAGCACCGCCGAACATGCACCCGTACATCCAGAGCAAGATGAGCAAGAGCCGCTCACCTCCTGTGTACGAGTTGAAAGCTGTTGCGCACGCCAGGAGAACCTGCACCAGTCAGCGAAACGCCATGGCCAACATCTGTTCTTCTGCACTGAGTGTAAGAATCAGGCTTCAGCCACATTTCAGGATCCCAAACATTCTCCTGCATGTCGCTGCGAGCAACGACACGACTGCATGATACTGCAAAGCACTCTGAACAAGCTGCCGCCTGAACACATTTGTCTGCCAGCACGGCGAGGGTGACCTGGGCGAAGTGACATCTGCATGATTTCCTCGGAACCCCATGCTCCTCCTCCATGCCCGGAGATGCGCAAAGCTTCAACCAGCTCCTGGGTATACCTTGTTGCCTAGTGGCGGGAAGCCTTGCTACTGGCGGCAGAGCAACAGACCCGGAACCGGCAAGTACGAGTGCTGGGTGCACTCTTCGCGCGCTCGCGTGGTGCTCGTCTGTCTTTGGATTTTTTGCGCTGCGGGGAGCCGGTCGATCGCCGCTTCGTGTATAACCCCTATGCCCTATGCCTTTGCAAAGCAGTGATCTCTCCGGAGGTGTGTGGCCAAAGGTCCAAGACTGAGCTGCTCACCGCGTCCATCTGCTCTGTGTACATGCTTCCACCTCTCATGCCGGCCTGGGGTTGGGGAGATAAGCAAAGCTTCTCACAAGCAGCATTCTTGGTTCCTTGGTGACGTCTGGGAAACCGAAGAAGGTGGCGGGAGCCACTCGCCGCTCTCGCCACCACTCCTAGCGATCCGAGCAGATGAAGCTCTTCGGAAGATCCATATAGACACTTTGTGGAGTATCAACCGGCCTTCTGTGGCTGCACTCTGGACAGATCGAACCTGCCGAGCTTGGAAGGAAGGCTGAAGTCAACATTCGGCCCCTTCTAAATACCAGGGCTCTGTACCCCATGACCTGGAATTGTCTGTCACCAACACGATACAGATGTCTTGAATATTGGACATGAACACTTCGTGTCCCCAGACACATTCCGCTTTCGCCTGCAAGGCTGTCGACCTCACAACTTCGCCAAGCCTTAGACAAATGACCTGATGGCAATTGAACGCGCCGTGAAAAGCGTTGGCACCGGCCTGTCGGTCATTGGACGAGGAGTTCTGATCCGGTAGTGCTGCTTGGACCACGTGCGCCTGCAGCAGACTGGCAAACACAGGTCGTCTCTCAGTGGAAAGAGATGTACTGAGCTCCTCGATGGCGGAGTGTACCATCGCTGCTGAAGGTGGTGAAGGCTGCGCAGGCTTTGGACTTCTCGAAACGCCATACCCCTCACTTCATGGGGCCATTGCGAAGACTGGTGTGGTCAGCCAAGTGCACATCTGAACACTTGTATGATGTCTGTTTGGATCCTAGCCTTCTACACTTCATGTCGCCAGAGCATCTACACCCCAGCGACCGAGCGATTGCTATGCGCCTGGGCTCAAGGATATAGTGAGAACTGAGCGTGGGTTGATCAAACCCGACGATGCAGACCGCAGAACTTGCAAAGGCGTTTTGGGAAATGTCCAGTCTGCTGTCCAATATCGATGCTACTCGGAGTGTTAGTACATAAGCTGGCAGAAAGCAACACATCTGTGGGAAACTCTCCTGCAACGCTGATGCGGCAGCGGCAAGTGGCACGGAGTGATGTCTCACACCGTGTGGGAGAAATATCATCTTGACAAAACGTCTTCAAGATACTCCATCAGAGTGTCTCTGACTCATAAGACGAGCCCGCACAAGTACACGCCACAGATGATCAGCACATTTGCATTCCAGTGTTGTGGATGGCAAATGCACACGTTCTTGTCCTATGTCAGAAGCTTGAATGAATCTTCAATTGTTGAGAGGTTCACAAGCAGTTCTTTTGTGGCTGCCTTTCAAGGATTCAAAATGAGGCCATGGGAAGCGCTGCCTTTCTTAACATCGTTTTGGTTGTATGACGTTTAGGTTGCAATGTTGCAGTATGACTCTGGTGAATATGATAACGTACAGGAGGTGCAAGGGTTACATGGGATAATATCATGAATTTCACACGTGATTTACCCATTATAGTGCCCTCGCAGTACATCCTGCCTCCCGCATGTCACATACCTGTCATATATGTACCCTGTGAAGTACACATGCAGTGCTTATACGTGTGTATGTGATTCAAAAAATATACAGATGTGTAAGTATAATAATAGGCATATGTGCACATATGCTTATATGCGTACATGTATATATATATATATACATATCTGTATATCTGTCTGTATATGTGTATACGTGTGTGTATATGCATATGTGCATATAGACATATAAATATACATGCATATATGTACATATGTTTATATGCATGTGTGTAAATATGTGTATGTGTACATATGTATGCATTTACACGTGTATGTATGCACCGGTGCATGTAATTATGTGTTATGTACATGTGTATGCATAGGTATATATGTATGCATGGATATATACGTATCCATATCTACATATGCATGTATGTTAACGGGTGATTTGCTGCAGTAGATTTCAGTTAAAGCCTAGTTAGGCACACAGTCAAAAGTGTTCATAAGCTCCAGTGCACGGCGACCGAAACATAGATATCGTGCTCAGTGTGAGACATGCTGATTCAATGAACCTCGAAATCAAACGTGCGATATGGTGAATAAACTGAAGCAAAATGGAATGGAAGAGATCGTGATTAAGATGCTTTACATATCTTCACATCTCCTAGCAGACTGTTGGCAATTCAGCTGGCAGCATAGTAGTTTTGGGGGTCCCAAAACAACTTCAAGATACTCTTACGGCATTTAGCATGCAGTAACAGTGCGTATTGTCGTGAAAGACTTAGTGTAACACGATAAAGATATGCTGGATGGCAATGTGCTATAATATACTTCATAATCGTCTAGCGCACGCATAACATGGAATATGACAGCCTGCGATAAGTTACCGCGACATGTGATGCAACCCAACAGGATATTATGTGCTACAAGTGTATAGGAGCGGATGCAAAAGTAGCAGTGCGCGCGAGCAAGGCAGGCTGTATTCATGACTTTGCACGCGGCTGAGCTGAAAAGGGTAGGTGAATAGCACGTGTAGCAGTGAAGCACCATGAGCAATTAACAAATCCGAAAGGAAACCAACCTGCCAGCATACTGTGGCAAGTGCGCGCACACACAGAGATGAGCGGAGTTACGAATACATCGTGCACAGTATCCTCGAATCCTGGTTTGAATTCTGTGCTCCCGGGACAGACAGACAAACAGCCAGGCAGGCAGGCAAGCAAACAAACGGAGAGCGCGAGAGAAAGAGACGGCTATGTATACATAAGTGCGGAGTACGCACTGGCAGGTGGGAGGCTTCGAAGCGCACAGCAATTGATTTTATACCGCAACATGCAAACAGTGCTTGGTTCGTGAAACTAAGTCTGACTCGCACACATGCTCTGCGAAAGCGTTCTAAGCAGGCCTGTGCCTTGTCCTGCGGGCATGCCACTATTTAGCGCACCAGCTGAGCTCGGGCCGGCTGTGACCAGGCAACGGCAGATACATCCAGGAGTTTCTCACACTCCTTCTTGTTATTTTGGCTGGTCACCGGCATCGTCCTCCAGGTCGGGCTCGAGCTGCTGAATCGTCGTTTGCAGCTGCTGCTTTCGCTGCTGCTGTCGGGCCTCATCATTGGACCGCTTCACAACTTTGCGCTGGGCACGCTGCTCCTGCTGCTTCGCCTTGAGCTGGCGGTTGGCTTCACTCTGGGTGAGGCCGAGCATTCCGGTGCGAAGGAAGTCTTTTAATCCTTCCTTATCGGCGCCACTTTTGGTCAGCACGTCACTGATGTTCTGCTGACCATCTATCCACCTCACGCTGGCGCCGGGCTGCCTCACGGTCTCGCGAAGCAAGGCTCCTTCAATGGCCATCCGCTTGTCTGAGCTTGTGCTCGTAGCGTCCTTCTGCAAGTAGTCGAAGACGGAGCGGGCGTCTGTAACATAGACGCGCTGCCTCTGCTGGATCACCTCCGGCCAGTTCCGCAGGTCAACCTTGCCCGTCAAGGCCTCTTCAAGGACCACGATGATCCAGTCACCGGCCTCCACTGCTTCGGCCAGGTGCGAAGCCTCTGCCGCCAGAGTTGAACGGCAGACCCTCTTGGTCTGCCCCGAGTTAAAGGCCAGGATGTTGGCCTTCACCTCCTTGCCCTCCAGGATGCCCTTGTTTGCAAGAAGGATGAAGTAGCCGCCCACGCTCCGATAACGCATCTTCTCGTCATGCTCCGGGGTGCCGTTGGCGTGGCCGGCGTCAGAAAGGTGCACAACGACGCTGTCCTTGAGGGACACGTCGGCCCAGAAACGTAGGTGGAAGTCAGCGCCGCGACGCGCTGCCCCGATGAACTGCTTCAGCCGAATAAGGTCGGCCACTCTGGCGTCCAGGTTTGCTCGTTGAGCCACCCCGTTCTCATAGGCCAGGTCGCACCTCAATTGGCGGGCCAACCATCCCAGCTCGCCCGCCGAACTTTGGTAGAGCTCCATCTCCTTCTCAGTCAAGGGGTCCTCCAGGCGCTGTCGCCTGTCTCGCTGCACTGGCACAGGCTTGAGCGACAAAGCGTAGTTACGCATCATCACGTCGATGTTCCCGGACTCGTGCTGCTTCACCTCGCGCCCTCGAAAAATAAAGTCCCGATAGTGGTTCGTAGCAAACTCGAGGGTAGTCAGGGTTGATGCCGCCCTCAAGGTCGTCCACGTGGGTCACCAGGATGCCCTGCAGCACTTGCTTGACCCGATAGTAAAACAGGGCCGGCTCCAGTCGGGACTCCTCCCAGCCATCCTCCTGAAGGTGTTCCTTCAAGGCAAGCCAAAACATTCGGGCCGCCTCGGCAAAACCATAAATCGCCTTCTTGGCCTGCAACAGCTGTCCGGGGGCAACGTCTGGCAAACCGCCCTTTGGCGGCTCCAAATAAATCTCTCTGGTCATGCTTTTCCCGCTGAAGTAGGCATTCTTGATGTCCTTCGCGAACAGGAGAAAGCGCTTGTTGGCGCAGATCGCCAAGCATATGCTCTCCGCGGTTGCGCTCGCCGTGGGGGCGTCTCGCCTGTACTGGCCCAGGGCTCGGTCCTTGAAGCCTTGAACCACCAGACGGCTCTCCGCCAGGAACTCGGCACCGAAGAGGTTGTCGTTCTTGTTGGTCCTCACCCACCTCGTGGGAATGATGAGGTCCGCCTTCGTTCTCCGGATCTCCCGGCTGGCTTCCAAACTAAGCACCTCACAAGCGCCCTTGCCCAGCCAGGCTTTCCACTCCTTCTCGTCTGAACCGCCAGGCTTCGTGAAGAGGTTCTGCTGCTCGGGGGTCAGGTCGTTCAGTCTGACCTCTTTCCTTCCCTTCTTGGCCGTGGTAGCTGCCAAGGCCTGGTACCGCTCATCAAAGCGGTTTCGGCTGCAGCTGAAAAGGAAGGTGCCCTCGGTAACGGCAAGGGCCTCGTAAAAGTCCGCGTGCTTCCGGTAGTGCTCGCGGGCCTTCTCCTTGAGGTAGTTCTTGGTGCTGGCCGCGGCAAAGGCGCTGAAGTGCTCGGTCACCATGTGCGCCGCCTCGTCTCCACTCGTCACTCGCAGTCGTTTGGCTTCTCTCTCGTTCGCCTCGGCTGCGGGGTCGTCGACGATTGGGCTGAGCTGCCTTGTCAGAGCGGGCCGTGCCTGACGGTAGTCGTCCCGCTCCGGCTCGTACTCGTCAAGGTCCGGGTCGTAGTCTGGAACCTCAAGAGGTGGCAGCCCAGCGTCGTCTCTTTCAGCTTGCTCTCGTGCTGTCGCGGCCGGCGTGGCTGAGGACTGTCCAGGCTCACTCTCGACCGGCCGGGGCGGCGGTAGTAGAGAAGGTTCGCGCCGAGCTCGTCTCTCACGTTCCTTCGCGCCGAAGAACTCAGAGCTCTTCCTCATCCTCCGGGCGTCTCGCTCGGAGGCCTGCCTCTCCACCGAAGTTGTGCTGCCGCCCTGCTCGCTGAGACCCGGCATCTCCTCGTCGGGCTTCTCCTCGGTTTCGTTCGGGCGTTCTGGCTCCTCGGGCGGCCGTGGTGCTTGTCGTAGATCTAGAAAACCGCTGCCACCTGAAGCCGGCATGGCATCGACGAGGGAGTGCTCGTTTGCAACCACGGTCCGCTGCTCCACCTCCTCGTCGTGCGCGAGGCTAAGGTGCTCGGGGGAAACGGCAATCAGGATTCCCCGGTGCGACAGCCAGATAGTGCTCTGGCCTTCTCGCCCAACGATCCTTGCAATGCCTCTCCAGCAATCTGGGCCCGGTTGCTTGCTGGCAGCATCGTAATAGAAAACGTAGGTGCCGACAGGGAACGGGCCACGGCTGGGGCGAACCTGCCTCAGCTCGGCTCTTCGAATCGCCTCGCTGTTGGCCGTCCTGGTGAAGCTCTCGCGAGCGGCCATTCGAATCTGGTTTTTCCTGTGGAAGCGGGTCCGGGCGTGTCGGCCAGGGCCTGGGCACCAACACGGCCGACCTCGTCCTCGTCTGCCAAAGAAGCTGTGCTTTGGCTGCCGTGTCAAAGTGACAACCGTGGCTGGAGATCTCCTCGGCAAAGTCGGCAAGGAAGTACTTTGCCCGGTCTGTCACAACCCCTCGCTCGGGGAACCCAGCCCAATCGGTCCACGATGTAGTGAACGCTCGCAGCACCTCGGCTGAGGTCGGATTGGCGTGCGTCTGGCCAACAAGACTGCAGACTTGGAAGAGAGTCCCCTGGTCAAAGACATTAAGCCAGGTCCAGTGTGGCCCTTCGCATCCTTCTCTGAGAAAATATCCAGGCCAATCTGCACATTGAACTCGTCGACCAAAGGAAGCTTGCTTGGCCGTGGCAACTTTGGCTCGCCCAATCTTGGGCAGTCTGGGCAACGGAAAAGACGGCATGCCTTGATAGCAGTCTCCGAGGCACGTGATATCCTCAATGCCCTCAGCATGGCTGCTGGCGGTGCATGGCCCAAGTTCACGTGCACCCTGCGGATCGCCAGCTTGAGCTCTCGAGGTAGAGCTTGCCACTTTCTTTGCCGGCTGGCCTCTGCAACTTGCTGTCGGTCTCCGGGGCAATCTCCTTGCCGTACAGGACCACATAGAGCAGGCGGCCTTGAGCAACCAGGGGCCGCACTTGTGCCGAGGGTGCCATGCTGTTCCAGTCCTCCCAGTCAGTGGTAAGGACCTCGTTGCCGTTCAAAAGCAGGAACGATTTCCGAAGGGGCACCTCGAGCGGTCCTGCGTGCGGCTGTGGCTTCTTCATGCGCTTGGCCGTCAGGGAGCAAAGGATCAACGAAACATCAGCGCGGCCACTCTCAGGGAAACCCAGGCACGGCCTAAATCGCCATCGGTTCCAAGACGAAACCATGCTCCCGAACCGCTTTCTCTCAAGTGCTCGGCCGTGGCCTCCAGCAGGTCGAGAACGGCCTCCTCCTCGCACTCTTGCCAAAACC